GTGCATGCTGCTTAAGGAAGTAAGTATAGAACGCATGTTTTCTGAAGATCACAGGAACTGCAAGAGAATCTTCCTACCATATTTAGTGCTTTCTCCAATTTTCAGAGAATCTTCAACAGAATGGTAGAAAGTAAGGCAAATACATTCGTTAGGCTTATGAGGAGAAATGAGAGGAAAGTGATTTTAGAATGATTTAGTCACTATCCTGCATATAAAAAGATCAAATAGGACAACTTTACTTTTTTTCTTTTTGAGATGGAGTCTTGCTGTGCCACCCAGGCTGCAGTGCAGTGGTGTGATCTCGGCTCACTGCACCTGTACTTCCTGGGTTCAAGTGATTCTCCTGCCTCAGCCTCCCCAGTAGCTGGGATTACAGGAGCCTGCCACCACGCCTGGCTAACTTTGTGTTTTTAGTAGAGACAGGGTTTCACCATGTTGGCAGGCTGGTCTTGAACTACTGACCTCAAATGATCCGCCTGCCTCAGCCTCCCAAAGTGCTGGGATTACGTGTATGAGCCACTGTGCCCAGCCTACTATTTCTTGAGGTAGGAGAAAGCAATGAAGATAAACATGTCTAAAACAAGTTTAATCGGCTGCAACAAAGAAATATCTGTGAGACAGGGGTGATCACCAAGAGTACAAAACTGACTTTTATGGACAAAGGACCCATATGGAAAGAGAAGTGCTGTTTGGAATGACTCAGTAATACCCTCGTCTCTCAATGGTTAATCATTTATTAATAATCAACATGAATATTTACTTTAAGCAGCAATGCCGTGAAACGCAACGAATTCAGTTCCAAGGCTTTGAGTCTTGGAAATATCCTCATTAAACCTGGTATGACTCAGGATGTTCTCTTATGATTAAAATATCAACTTTCTGTTCTATTTGGATAATATTCTTAAGAACAGCAGTCGGCTCGATAATTACTTTCAGGCATGATGAATAGGGGTTTTCTGAGTAAACAAGAAGAAGGAATAGGCAGGTGGTTTCAGGTGCCCTGTTCAAGAACCAGTAAAGTAATAAAAAGATGGTTACCTGTTCCAATAAGCATTCCCGTTCGTCAATCAGCTTTTTCAACCTAATATCTAAAGGAATCAGAAAGACACAGGTTTAGGTGAATCCATGTGCCATGTCTTTCAGCACGTCGTTAAACTGAAGAACGATAGTTCAGGTTAGTGAAATGAATGATGGAAGTAGTTATACACGTACCACGGTGAATGAGGCCACAGACAGCACGGGGGAGGAATTCAGCCAAGGGGGGTTGGGTCAACCTCCCGGAACATGCTTCACGTCAGGGCAGCATCTGGCTGCATGCAAAGAGGCTGCTAATCTTCTACCTTAGGTTAGCATGCACGAATGCTAGGGCCAAACCACTGCAACACAAGATCTCACAGGCTTCAAGGTTTAACATCATCAGCAACGTACAAACACCGAGAATCGCGATTCAGTGGCACCAACGTTTTGACCCGCCCCACCTGTACATCCCAGATGCATTTATCTTTCTAATTTCTCTCATAGACTCATCGACGTCAGTGCCGTGACTCTCTGTTTATAACCTGAGTCCACCGGCACATCTGCTAACCCAGTCATCAAAGACGTTCTTTTGAGGAAGAGGCAGTAGTGGTTTAAGTGTCTGTGATTCCTCTTGCCCCTGATATATAGGGAGCCATATATGTAAGCATCTATAAATTCCCCAAACATCTCTCTGAAGGAGTGTCAAGTACTTACATTCTTCGGATCGGGGGGGGGGGAAATGAAGGTTTGAGGAGGGTTTAGAGGTTTGGGCAAAATCCCATGCCAGTTTAAAGGCCCCGTCAGCTGGAGTGAGGACAGGGATGGTGATGTGTGCTGCACACTCTGACAGACGCGGATGCGGGGACAGTTCTAGTAGCTTTGACATCATTAGCTCATTTCAGCCCCGAAAACCCTCTGGGGGGCTTCATTACAGTCTTCTTCCTTCTATAGATGTGGCCCAGAATCACTAAGCAACTTTCTTAAGGCCTCACAGCTCAGGCACAGAAACACGCCCCTAACCACTGCAGCCACTGTTTTTCCAGTCTCAACTCATACCTCTGAGTGGGACCCTGACTCAAAGCTCTTAGCGTACTGGGACGCTGCTCTCACGTGGTCTACCTCCAGAGTCTTCATCGAAGGAAAAAACTAACCTTTCTTAGCCATATGAAAAGAATATGATTCATATAAAATGCATCTTCATTTTCATTTAAAAAATCATGTAGCCGCATGCTAATCCAAGTTACATTTTTCTCTAATTACGTTTTCCAAAGTTCCTAAGTTGTTTTGAAAGGAACAATACAACACCAGATAATGTTAAGCACAATATAAATTAAATGTATGATCCTTTTGAGCCCTATTTTAATTTACAGTCGAATTACTTCTGACAGATGTTTTACTCTTTCCCTCCCATAACCCATCCAACACTGAAACATGTTTGTAGTTATATACCTGATTCTTTTGTCGCTTTTCATTTGCTTACGTGTTTTAATATTACTACATACAAAAGCTACGGGCATCATAAGAAACACTGAACACATCTGAACGTGGTCTCGAAGCTCAAGTATCTCTTGCACAACTTTTACTGTTTTCTTCTAGAAGACCTCAAATACTCTAGATAGGCACTGGAAAATAAGTGTTAAAATGTGGTAACAGTGCAAGCAAAATCGGTAAAGGTAATCTGACATTTAGTCACGAGAGTATTAAAAATAGAGAAGAAACTTTTATAGAAAAGAAATTTAAAGACAAAACAAGAACGAAAGAGTTTGAAGAAAATGGAAAAAGGAATGAAGCAAAATAATTTGACATGAAGAAAATAACGGTACTGGTTTTCATAGCATCAAAAACCAGCAAGTCTAATTTGTTGACTAAATAATGGCACATCACTGATAAATTTATTGTGTCCATTTAGTTGAAAAATTTTTCCCTGTATCAGCCACCAGCCATTCACATGATGAAAAATATCTCGGAGAGGCAGTAGATAGGGACAAAGAGAAAGAACGGAAGGATTTTCCTCTTGAAAGACAGTGATTTCTCCATGTAAGACTATCACATGGAACAAGTACATATTCGGAACATAAAACATGCACATACAGACACCACTCCCTTCCCTTAGGGGCCCAGATGTTTGGAACAAATCTTACTGTTGCATTCCCTTGGCTGTATAGGATGGGGGGGGTGTCTCCCAGAAAAGGAGTCTATAAATAGAAAACAGGAAACCCACACTGTCTAAACTCCCCAGAATTAGCATTCAGGGTCCTAGTGAAAGTGGAAATGTAAGTGTTCAGTTCATTAGGTCTCCTGTTAATTGCAAATATTAAAAATTATGGAAAGTGATCAAGATCATACATCTAAGTTCATACATTCTTGAAAACTGTTTAAAAACTTGATTGTTGCCCAACCTTTGTATAACAACCCATAACTATACTTTAGCTACTTTTGAAGGAAGACATATTTACATACAGGAGCTATGTTCTGGTTTGGAACTGAAAAATGTTCAAGCTTTTTGATTTAATGTGTCAGTAACCAATGTTTTTCTCTGTTCTGTGTGACAGTGAAACCCCAGTGGCCGAGGTTCCTCTGGGGATGTGGCTGGCAGGCAACCTTTCAATTCTTTTCTGAGTTTGAGTCTTTGACGCTGAAATCTTTCTAAATTGCCTTATATATTTCCATGCCTTCTTACATGCAGTATACCTAAGTCAACTTTCTTTTTCTTTCTTTCTTTTTTTCTGAGATAGGGTTTCATTCCATCGCCCAGGCTGGAGTGCAGTGGTATGATCACGAGTCACTGCAGCTTCGACCTCCCAGGCTCAGGTGTTTCTCCCACCTCTGCCTCCTGAGTAGCTGGGACTACAGGCACATACCACCACGCCTGGCTAATTGTTTGTATTTTTTTTTGGTTGGTAGAGATGGGCTTTCACCATGTTGCTCAGGCTGGGCTTGAACTCCTGGGTGCAAATGATCCGCCTGCCTCAGCCTCCCAAAATGCTGGGATTATAGGTGTGAGCCACTGTGCCCAGTCTCAACCACTTCTTGGTATGTTAAGGGCTTTCAGGGTAATGCCAATTACTGCGCTTGGCTAAAAAGTCATTACGCTGGAGAGCAAATAACTGATGCTCAGAACGAAGGCTCTGAAATCATTGAGAAATGGTTTGGTGTTTGGGTGTTCAGAAGTCTTTCTTTTCCCTTCTTTTTTGCTCACTGATTTTCAGCTGTCCATTCCCCATTGGAGGGCTGGGTCCTATCTGCTTGTTCACTGGCACAGCGTCCTCCATAAGTGATCAAACATGCTTATTAATTAAACAAATGAGTGGTGAATCACTGAGATGGCTGGATGGCTGAGCTGAGGGATGTGATGTGTGCCCAACGTCCTGCAAAGTGCTGGTGAGTAACATAGGAAAGAACTTAAAACGGCTTGATGATCTCACCACTGAGTGACCTTGGTTGTTGAACTGCCTTCCTAGAGCCCTTTAAAGGCAGGAATGAGAGCTGTTTCCAGCATGCATTCCAACAGAAATGCAGCTTTGCTAAAGTTAGAGACAAACCAAAACCCTGTCAAGCCCTGTAGAGCCCTTGGACTTGATTTCCTAGTGAGCCTCGGGTTTTCCTATTTATATCCCCATCATCCTGGACTTCAGGACACTTGCAGAAACAGTCAAGGTTTTTGCTGTTTTCATTATACTCTTAAAAACATTCTAAGTATTGGCACATTTAGGCACAGCAGCAGATGAAGACCGTTTTCAACCGAGGCTGCACATCAGAACCACAGATCACACGAGGTGATGCGGGACAACTGTCTCAATTCTCCCAGTAATACCCGTGTTGGCCCCAGGCTCGATGCCAGGAGGGAAATTTCCTTACTGAGGAAGGGCATCAGGTCTTCTACGGAGCCCCAGTGGGCATCAGCAACCCCGAACAGGTATTACTGGAAAGGCAGTGCTATGCAGACTCAGATTTCAAGCAGACCAGAGAGTGGAACCACAGGCTTGTACAATTATCAAATGCTTTTATTTCAATTACCTAATAACACATTTTCCTCAAATTGTATTGAGGTTTTGGTCTTTTTGCATTCAATTCTATCTTGTAACAGTAATATGAAAAGTGTCAACAACGTTCATAACGTACATTCCTTTGTGATTTTATATTTTACAATTTAAAAAATAACTTTACACTTATTTTTTTAAATGCTTCTTTATATAGAAAATAGATATTTTCTTTAGGCAGACCAAAACAGGAACTTTCCAATAAGAATATACTGAGAAATAACAAATGAAAATATTTATACCAAAATACCAAAAATGATTCAGCTCTTTAACATATCCTCTTATAGTCTAATTAGTAGTTTGCACAAGAACAAGAAACCTTTTTTACTGCTCTTTTGAATGATGATTAGAAATTCAAACAGAAAGAGAAATAACTTTAAGGGTCAAAACTGTTTTTTTTAGAGACAGGGTCTCATTCTGTGTCCCAGGTTGGAGTGCAGTGGTGCAATCATAGCTCACTGCAGCCTTGAACTCCTGGCCTCAAGTGATCCTCCGACCTTGGCCTCCCAATGTGCTGGGGTTACAGGCATGAAAATATAGTTTTTGTTTTTTTTTAAGATGGAGTTTTGCTCTTGTTGTCCAGGCTAGATTGCAATGGTGCAATCCTGGCTCTCCCACCTCAGCCTCCCTAGTATTTGGGATTACAGGCACCTGCCACCAAATCCAGCTAATTTTTTGTATTTTTAGTAGAGACATGGTTTCACCACCTTGCTCAGGCTGGTCTTGAACTCCTGACCTCAGGCGATCCACCCCCCCTCGGCCTCCCAAAGTGCTGGGATTACAGGCATGAGCCACCGCGCCCAGCTGAAAACATTTTAACAATGACTGTCCCTCCTCAAATACTGGGGTAGGAAATGTAATTTTGACCTATTTCACTTCCAGAAAAAACTTAAAAATAAATCTTCATAAAAATGAATTTGATATATCATCAGCATGAAGTGAAGGTAAAATGTCCTACAAGGTAAACTCAGGTATCATCAACAACGAGATCCAAAAGCATTGGTTCAAGATGAAAGACTCACATGAGATAAAGGCAGGTAACCCCTAGTGCTTTCAGACATTTACTTGTTACCCTTAAAATCATTATTGCTCTCAGGTGCAAGTCTATCATTCAGTGTCCTCTTTGCTATTTGGCTGTTTATCTCCTTTAAGTAAAATACCATACAGGTAGTCATGCACATTTAAAATCAAATATGAAAGTACATGTATGTGAACAAGACATTCAGTTAAATATCGCTTATATTCATAATACAGAAGTGTAAGAATGCTATTTGGTCATTTCAATTAGATGCTGATGTACTTGGTCAAGAATGTCCACATTCCGATCAGCTTAAGGCAGAGGTGAACTGCCTCTATTTTTATTATCTGTACTATAAACAGTAGACATTATTGTTTGATACTACCGGAATGCTCTCAGTTAAAACGTACATGGAAAACACATGTGTCTTTCTAATATGGTTATAACCTCAATGATTACATGGAAATCTACAAGTAGATCACCTGGTGATTGTCATACAGTGCATCTCTATGAATTTAGAACGTTCTACTTACATTGCCCGTGGAGGTAAAAGAGCCCCTCACAGTCAGTCTTCCCGTGCACCACGCCTGCCGCCTGCCTCAGCTCAGGACATGGTGCAGTCTTCTTTGCTTTTGCCCTTCTCGTTTCCTCCTGCGGTGCCTTCTCTGCTTTCCGGGTTGAAGTCCCCCAGCTCTCCTCCTGGTGCCGACAAGTCATCATCGTCTAGACTGCCGCTGTCTAAAGCTCTCCTGACGGTCCGGCTTCGATGTTCCGGCATCACATACCTCTCTGTACTTTCTGCTTCACGGGCGTCACTCATGTCCTGTGAGGGACTTGCATTTTTGGGCAGGGTGCAGCGACCTGCGTCTTCGCCCTCTGGTTCTGCAGGGCTGCTCTGAGTGGCACCATCTATTTCAGCGTTATCTTTTGCAACATCTTCATCTAATTCTTCACCACTAGCCCTCGTGCCTGCTGAGTGGACTGTGCCATCCTCGAAATCGAACGTGTCTCCGTCAGCCGGGACCTCCCCAGCTGCTGCTTTGCCATCATCACCTTCTTGGCCAAGTTTCCCATCCAACCTCATTCTAGGATTCCCCACAGTTTCACTGCTTTCTGCTGCAATTTTCTGTTTTGGATTTTCAGTCACCTCGTTTTGGGCTTCCGCTACTGACCTTCCGTCAGGAGATTTTACCTGCTCTTCTGCCTTCATCTCGCTTAACTCTGTGTTCTGGTAAGTTAACTCTTTAACATCTTTAAGGGTTTCTACGGGTACTGGGGACTTTTTCTTCTTGTTTTTCTTTTTCTTGTTCTTTGTCTTCTTCTGTGATGAGTCCAGTGCCTCTCCCTGTTGGCCATTCTTTTCTTCACCAGGGTCTTTCATATCTAAGGGTTCGCTTTGAACATCGACTGCACTGGGGCCTGTCGCTTCCTCATCATTGCTCTTGGGTCCTGCTGGAGAACCAGGACCTTCTGTCTTGGTTGGTTTCTCATCCCTCCATCCTGTTTCTTCACCCTCTTCTTCTGTACTCTGAATTGGGACCTCTGTGGGCTCAGCTGCTTCCTGGCTGGTGAGTTCTTTCTCTAGACTATTCCCTGTGCTTGCCTCTAAATCTTGGGGGACCTCTACCACACATTTTTCATCACGATAAACAGTGTCATCGCTATGCCCTGAAGGACGTGAGGCCACTGTGCCTGCCTGCTCTCCAACCTGAGTCACCGCTGCCTCTCCCACATTCTCTGCATGGCTCCCAGCCGCTAAGTCACTCCAACAGTTGGGTGGCTCAAGGGGAGTTCTGGTCCTGTCATCTGGTGCACCCACGACCTCGTTTGACTCAACCTGTGCTGTGTTTTCAGGGAGAGAAGTGCTCTCTAGAATTTGGCTTTGAACCTGTTTCTCATAGGCAGCACCCGCTAAGGTTCCTAGGGATGGGGCAGTGTCTTCAGAGGATTTCTGGTCCTTGGTATTCTCAGCAGCATGGAATACCTCTATGTCCACACAGTCCTTCACTGTGTCCTCTGTGTGTTGCTCTTTCTCAGTACTGTGCAAGATTTCTCTTTTCCCCACATTCGCCACGATTTCATTTTTCACCTCCACTTCACTGGCTCTGCCTAGAAGACCATTGAGAAAATTGAAGGGACCCCATGATGTGGTGGCCACATAACTTACATTAGAATGTAAATACATGTTCTAAATCCCACCCACCCCTATTCCTAAAGAGAGAGAGTCATCTAAGGGTCGTGAGAAACAGAAGCCTTTGCCAGTTCTGAGCGGCAAAGTAGCAGCTGCATTAGTAAATCTGGGGTCAGCGAGAGCCACTGCCACCACATCAAAGGCCAGAGTGGCTGCTGGTGCCATCTTGTGTGGACAGATTTTTTAAGGTGAAGTTAAGTTTCGACAAATCGAAAGCTCTGGATCAGGCAGCCGAGCAATCCACAATGATGGGTTTAGGAACGGACGTAAGGGGCATATTCCCCGTTCTCATTTCTCAGTGCACAACTGGACAACTTGTATTTTTTAGCTGTCCAACTGCGCTGCGTGTCACACAGCCCTAAAAGCAGCTTGCGAGTAATTTTTGAAAAGAATAGTCAGTGCACTTTTAGAAAAGCAGCCTCAAGGTCAAGCTCAAGAAAGATACTTCTGAAATAGCTCATATGGTGGAAAGAAATCTGTCTTCCATGACTCAACCACTGTCTTCCTGAGAAAACACCCTGTGTTCATTCCCTAGGGGACTAGGGAGAGAGGACCAGCAGGAGGCAAATGCTTAAGATCAAGGTGACCACTAAATGAAATGATAAATTCCATCAGCTGAGGAACATCAAACTGTTTTGGAATTTTTGAATTCTCAAACAAAACCCCAGGAGATTAGATAAAGTACTATGTTACTGAAAGTCAAAGCTAGATAATTTTATAATCCAGTGGTCTCCATGGTGGGGTGCCCATATCCCAGGAAAAATGGGGGAACTATTAGGACTTCTGGTAGAGTTTTACTCTAAAACTTTTTCACATATGTTTGGATATGTTTTATAATGTACATTTTATATTAATGAAATAGTATACATATATAGATTTAAAATAAACATATATATTGGGAAGTTCCTACAATTCTTTACTGGTGGAATATGTGATCAAAAGTCATTTGAAGACCACTTTCAAAACTGACATTTCCAGTTCCTTAAACATTTCTCAATGGTTATCAAGGATTTATAAAATGTATATTTGAGTAAGAGCAACATAATCAAATTCCTAGCTGTTTGGGTAGTTCATATAAAGGTGTGATGGAAATTACATATCTTTTTTCAACAATGGTATATAGATATTACATACATAGCTAGAGATGGAATCTTGCTATGTTTCCAGGCTGGTCTGGAATTCCTGGCCTCAAGTGATCCTCCAGCCTTGGCCACCCGAAGTGTTGGGATTAGAAATGTGAACCACTCTCCTTGGCCACAACTTTTTTTTACACAATTTAAAAGAGCCGTGTTTCTTTTTATTTATTTATTTATTTATTTATTTATTTATTTATTTATTTTTGAGATGGAGTCTCGCTCTGTTGCCAGGCTGGAGTGCAGTGGCGTGATCTCGGCTCACCGCAACCTCCGCCTCCCGGGTTGAAGCAATTCTCCTGCCTCAGCCTCCCGAGTAGCTGGTATTACAGGCATGCGCCACCACGTCCAGCTAATGTTTGCAGTTTTAGTAGCGACACGGTTTCACCATGTTGGCCAGGATGGTCTCAATTTCCTGACCTTGTGATCTGCCCGCCTCGGGCTCCCAAAGTGCTGGGATTACAGGTGTGAGCCACCGCACCTGGCCAAGAGCTGTGTTTCCTTAATAGTCATAGAGATAATGAATGCGTACCTCCCTGGAGCGCCAGTGGTGAGAAGATGGTGCCTGGAGGTGTCTACATTTCCATAAATATGAAGAAATAAGATGAAAGCTTCTAAATTAAAGTGAAAAGTCATGGACCCCAACCTTATTCCAGCATCCTTGTAAAAAACTGGAATGTAGAGGGTGACCAGTGACAGATGTGGCCTCACTTGCATGCTGCGACTGCAGACTGCACGCCAGAATCTCAAGGCTTTTCCCAAAGCCAACTATTACGACAAATGCCATCAGGTCACTGAAAATGGCAAATACTCCTCTGATCTACTGGATTCTCCAAGTTTAGATTCTTTCAGACGCGAACATTGGCATACCAAGGAGGATCCCCTGTGACAAAGGTGGGCATATTCAGACTCTCAGCACTGCTACATCCCCTACCACAGCGCCTGCCCACCTCAACTGGTGGCTTGAAAACGGCAATGCAGACAGACCTGCTGTCCACAGTCACCCTCAGAACGCTGAACGCTGCCCGGAATGTTGATGCTGGCTTGCAAACATGGCCAACTGACTTGATGGGCTCAACTATTCTGATCTTTTGATCATTCTGTCATAGAATCGATTTAAAAAGCCACACTTTATGTGTACAGATACACATGTATCTGAGGAGAACCACATAGTACTCTCCACATTGTTACTTAATTTTGAGACTACGTTCCTTGCATTCGCAGTCTTGCTTGGTAGCTTTGAGCAGCAAAAGGAAGGTATACCTGAGCCACTGACAGTGAGCAGTACACAGAGATGCATGCCAGACAACGCGGGGGTGACCACACCGGGTGGCAAGAACATTACCATGAAGTGATGAAACAAATGGCATGCCGGTGACTGTTAATCCATCAGTGGTAATGGCTCCAGCCCCAGCAGCGCATGAAGGGTGAGCCGATGCTGACTGGAAAGGTGGGGAGCCGAAGGAAAGCAGTTACTCACCTAGAGCCCCATCCCCTGTCGACTTGAGGGCATTCAACTCTTCTTTTGTCATCCCGGTGGGACCCTGGTATCCAACATTATTTAGAGTGTCGGAAGTCTCTCCATTGGTAGCTATTTCTGAATTTAGGATTATTCCATGTTTCTGGGAACAAAAACAGGCTCATCGTAATATTTGCTTGGTGATATTAGGTTAAACTCTGTTTTAACGCAACTAATAAAAAAGAAAACTATTTTTCCCGAAGTGCAGGGTAACTCCACAGAGACAGAGAAATGCGAGGGTGCAGCACTCGCAAATACTCGATCAACACACACAAGTCTGGGATATCGCCCTCCAAAGGCTACGGCTTTCTCAGATGCTCCAATCCATGCCTTAATTTGCTGGTGACAAGATACTTCCAGCAGGCATCCTGTTAACTCGTGGGAGTAGCCTGTGGGCTGCCACCAGGTGCGGCGGCAAGTCACTGTCGAGCAACCTTTCTTTGTAAAACCCTGGTTGCATTCTTTAAAAAGAGGAGCCAGATAAAGAAAGAAAGATATATGTGTTCTGAAAGGGACAGATGAAACTTATGTTAAAGAAGGAATTAAGAGGTGGCTAGAAAGTCCAGTACATTCAAAAGAAACAGAATTCACTGAAAACAGCTGACTTCACCCCTGCAGACAACACTCACCCGCCCCCTCCTGCCACCCACGGCTCTCTCTTGTGTGTGGGGAACTCCCCCGTACTTATCACCTCTTTGAGGAGCAGAAGCACACATCTTAGCTCTAAGCCTGCTGCTGGCTCACTGCCCTGGCTTTGACCCTGGAGGCCAAGCAGCAGATGGCGCTTCAGGAACCCGCCCACCGAGAATGCTGCCATTGGCGTTTCCCCTGTGTCGAGCAGCAGCTGGAGACACCTTGGAGTGGCCCACAAAGGACCGGGAACCTTCTTCCAACTGTAATCTAGTAGGTCTCAAAGTCTAATTAGCGGGATCCTTGCCCAAACCACTTACCCAAGTCACTGTTCATCTAGAGTAGTCCTTAAACTGGGGGCTTTAATATAAAGACGCAAACGCATTCGCTAAGTCTGAGTAATATCCTGGAGAATTTACTAATGAGGATGACAAAATTTAGATAATACATCAAAAAATTCTTGCGTTCAGGATCAGCTATGTTTACTACCGTCAAAAGGCCTTGAGCACAGCCCACTGAACCTACATTTATTTTACATCTCGTCAGTGTCAGTTAACCTAGGATATGGATCATTAACAGAACTAAAATCAATGACATAAGATTAATTATGTACACGCATAGTCCCAGAGTCCCAGAATCTGCTGTCGTCACCTGGTTTTTTACAGAATGTGCTTTGGCTGCATACCTTTAATTCCACTTTGAGCATGACTACTTCTTCTCTGAGATCGTCCCGTTCACTCCTTACGGAGTCAAAGAACTCTTTCTGCCTCTCTAACGCCTGAGTGTGCGGCAGAGCCAAGAGAAAGATGTGCACAGATGAGCAGGTTACTTCAGAAGCAGGAACCAGAAGGAGCTTCTACAGCTAAAACACTAGTCGACTCTAGACATTAAAGAGACTGCCTAAAGATACTAACAAAATCCGAGTATTAAGCTTTTCATTTAGTACATGGAGTCTAAGAAGCATGCTATTCACACTCGCTGAAAGCCAGGCACATTCTGAAGCACACACACAGCACAGGCCCCGGAGGTTACTGTATTTGCATCACTTGCTAGCTTTGTCTGCAGGTTCACAGCTGCCTTAGCAGTAGAGTTAAGCGAAGTCTCCATTTGAATGAAGAATCAATAAAGAAAAAGAAGGACTGCTAAGGACCCCCCGGGAAAGCTGCTGTAGCCATTTAGACTATTTTTATACATTGATTTTTGGTATCCATCGTCTCAGATAAACAGGGTGGTCCTAAAGTGTGTGTGCGCGCGTGCACAAACACACACATACAATCCTAAATGCTGATGAGCATGACGGTGGAAACAGCATGGCTTGAGTCAATATGTGGATATCTTGAGGTCATTATCAGAGTTATGTGTGTGAGTGGCTATTCTGGGGAAACCATTTGCCATTACGAATCACAGCAGTTACTTTGTGGGGTTCTATCCCCCCAGTCTTCAATTCTAAGTGTAGCACGGCCTCTTCTCTTCTCATGGAGGGAGAAGAGTTTGGGGAGGCTTTCCCTGGGGAAGATTTCAAGGTGGGAATACTCTGCCTGGTGCTGCTTAGATTTTTTTTTTCCTCAAAGCACCACCAGGTAGAGAATCCCAAGAAGCCTGGCCCTGCACACATCAGACCTCCCCAGAGTGCCCTCCTCACTCCAGGTGTTTCAACAACCCCACCCATGGGGCAGGCAGAGAGTATGGCCATGTATTCGTCAGACCCTTCATGGAGAGTCCATGTCACTTTCCAAGTTCTTATCAACTTGGACAAGTTTGTGTCTTTACTACTTAATAAAATCAAATAAATGAATACGACTTTGTGTCACATGGGAGTTGCATGCATACTCCCACAAGCAGTTTTGCAAACCAAAGACTCTGCAAAAACTATTTGCTAAGTAGCCTGCCCATTTGAGTAGATTTTCAAAGACTTGAGAATCCTACCCCTATCTTTTTGTCTTTCCACTCTATTGTTTCCTGAAGATCAGAAATCTCCCTGATAGAACTCGCCTGTTTCTGCTGTAGCTGTCGGATTTCCTGAGGAAAGGAACAGACAGAAAGCAGATAAAGGGTTAAAGAGGAAGAAAAACCCCAGCCCGAGGTAACCTGAGAGCTGGGACAGTGAGTGAAGACACAAGCACCCTTCTACCTCATCACCCTTGAATTCATTGCCAGCACTCCAGGATTTTTTCCCTTGTCCTACTCCTGCCCTCGAGAAGTGCAGGAAGAAAACCTGCTTTGAATGAAATTCTCACTTCAGGGCAGCAGTTAAAGTGCAGATTAAGTCAAAAAATTAAAAACCAGCCCTGTATTAGTTTCCTATCGCCACTGCAATGAATCATCATAAATTCAGCAGCTTAAAACACAAATTTATTTTCTTGCAATTCTAGAGGTCAGAAGTCCAAAATGAGTCTTATGGGCTAAAATCAAGCCTTTCTGGAGGCTCCTGGGACAGTCTGTTTCCCTGCCCTTTCCAGCTCCTAAGACTGAGCTACATTCCTTGGCTCGTGGCCCCTTCCTTGCATCACTCCAACCTCAGCTTCCTGTGTCACATCTTCTACTTTTGCCTCTGACTTTCCTTCCTCTTAGAAGGACCCTTATTCCACCAAAATAATCCAGGATAATCCCTTTTCTCAAGGTCTTTAATTTAATCCCAACTGCAGGGGCCCTTTGACCATGTAAGATTTCACATTTACAATTTCTGGGGATTCTGATGTGGACAACTTTGAGGGGCCATTATTCTGTCTACCACACCTCCCAAAACAAATACAAGATCACCAAAGAACAGGAATCTTCACCAATGAGAGGGGCTGTTTCCTTCATCTAGGGATGGAGAGTTAGCCTAAACTCGGTTTTAAGAAAACTGAAATCCTTAGTAATTGCCGTGGAATGAATTGTGTCCCTCTAAACTCATCTGTTGATGCCCCGATGCCCAGTGTGACTGTATTTGGGGCAGAGTTTTTACAAGGTAATTAAGGTAAAATGAGGTCATAAGAGTGGGGTCCTGATCAAATAGGATTAGTGTCCTTATAAGAAGAGACACCGGAGACATTGCTTTTTCTCCACCATTTGAGGAGTGATGCAGCAAGAAGGTAGCTGTCTGCCGGCCAGGAAGAGAGGCCCCAGCAGAACCCAACCTTGATCTTGGACTGCCAGCCCCTAGAATTGTGAGACAATTAATTTCTGTTGTTTAAGCCACACAGTGTATGGGATTTTATTCCTGCAGCCTAAGCTAGGATAGTCACGGCCTGACAAAATGCCCCACAAGAGAAAGGGAAAAGCAATGCAGGAGAACGTTACCTACCTCAAGCATTTCCTCTCTTTGCTTCAGGGCCTCCTTGACTTCGGCAAACTGAAACTGCAGTATGCTATGGGCGTGTTTTTCCCTTTCAAATTCCTGTAAAGGAGAAACACAGCACTGAGGCAGCGGAATCTCATGTTTCTGGCGTGCCAGTTCAGGTTCACATGATTTACAGTTCCTGGGGAACAAATCACCTGCTACTCCGTCATCACAATCTTCAAGATCTTTTATTTTATTTTATATTTATATATTTTTTGAAACAGAGTCTCACTCTGTCACCCAGGCTGGAGTGCAGTGGCACGATTTCAGCTCACTGCAGCCTCTGCCTCCTGGGCTCTTCTGCCTCAGCCTCCTGAGTAGCTGGGATTATAAATTCCCGCCACCACACCCAGCTAATTTTTGTTTTTTTTTTTTTTGTAGAGATGGGGTTTCACCATGTTGGCCAGCCTGGTCTTGAACTCCTGACCTCAAGTGATCCACCTGCCCCAGCCTATCAAAGTGCTGGGATTACAGGCGTGAGCCACCGCTCCTGGCCTTCAAGGCCTTTTAAACAACACAAACAGATTCCTCTGGACTTTGTAGATGATGCCTGTTGACTTACTGTAAAGTTAACCTGAGGAAAGACACACACACACACACACACACCCCCTACCATTTCTTTTTTTTTTTTTTTTTGAGAGGCTCTTCTCTGTTGCCCAAGCTGGAGTGCAGTGGTGTCAACACAGCTCACTGCAGCCTCAGCCTTCCAGGCTCAAGTGATCCTCTCACCTCAGCCTCCCAAGTGGCTGGGACTACAGGCATGTACTAGCACGTCTGGCTAATGGTTTTTTTTTAAATTTTTATATAAATGATGTCTCGCCATGTTGCCCAGGCTGGTCTTGAACTCCTGGGCTCAAGTGATCCTCCTACTTTGGCTTCCCCAAGTACTGGGATTGCAGGCAGCAGCCACTGCACCCAGCCTATTCCACGATTCCACATCGTACTAATGCTTACTTTGCTTTTCTCTTCGTACTGCCGCCTAGATTCAGCCAGCTGTTCTTCAAGCTCCAGCAACATATCTTTCAAGGTATCGACCTGGTACATGAAGTTTGTCTTTTCATTGTCTAGCTGGGCATTGGAAACCATAGCCTTCTTATATTTCTCTTCAACTTCTGCCAGAGAGTCCTGTGGAAAGCAGGCCATACTTTTGGAATTGCAATAAAAAAATTCAAAACAACAAATCATTCAGTATTCTGTGGAAAAAAAACCCCTCAGTCCTAAATTTACACTGTATTTCTTAGAGCAAATGGATCAGAAGAAGAAACACATGGCAACCTGAAACGCACGGAAATCCTCCCTTTTCGGTTTGAAAATTCTCATTGCTCAGAAAAGTCGCTCTTAAAAGCAATGTGCACGCTCATTAGAACAAAGGAGACACCAGTATGGAAAGGGAGGTGGCCACAGAGGCAGCGGGGTCTCTGGCCGCACTCGGTAGCTGGGGAATCCTCCCAGAGTGGTGTCTCTTAGGGCTGTTCAACAGGTTTCTGAAGGGTCACTCGAGGGGTGTGGCTGGCCCCTGGGAAAGAGCTGAGATAATTATACAGGGCCACAAGCCGCAATGCCCGCCAACCAGCCCTGCTCCAGCTTGTGAGCCAGGAAAGGAGCAGTAGTGATTTCAGGTTTTCAACCTATAGGAAAATGGCATGCAGGTCTCACTGGGTAGGTCCTGGAAAGACGAAGGATTTCCTTTGAAGGATAGTCCAGAGAAACAGGCCTGTAAAATATGCATGGCGATGCCCTCGCAGGTCCTCAAACAGTAGGAGGGGAAGTCAATTCCAGAAGAGAAAGAGCAGAACCGTCAGGGCACACACATGTGGAGCGGACGGCAGAGGCAGGAGCTGCTTGTTCAGGGGCAGCAGCGGCTGTGAGGAGCCGCAGGTCTAGCTCCACACCTCCACACCAGCTGGTCTAGCTCCACACCTCCACACCAGCTGGTCTAGCTCCACACCTCCACACCAGCTGCTCTAGCTCCACACCTCCACACCAGCTGCTCTAGCTCCACACCTCCACACCAGCTGGTCTAGCTCCACACCTCCACACCAGCTGCTCTAGCTCCACACCTCCACACCAGCTGGTCTAGCTCCACACCTCCACACCAGCTGCTCTAGCTCCACACCTCCACACCAGCTGCTCTAGCTCCACACCTCCACACCAGCTGGTCTAGCTCCACACCTCCACACCACCTGGTCTAGCTCCACACCTCCACACCAGCTGGTCTAGCTCCACACCTCCACACCAGCTGGTCTAGCTCCACACCTCCATACCAGCTGGTCTAGCTCCACACCTCCATACCAGCTGCTCTAGCTCCACACCTCCACACCAGCTGGTCTAGCTCCACACCTCCACACCAGCTGGTCTAGCTCCACACCTCCACACCAGCTGGTCTAGCTCCACACCTCCACACCAGCTGGTCTAGCTCCACACCTCCACACCAGCTGGTCTAGCTCCATACCTCCACACCAGCTGGTCTAGCTCCATACCTCCACACCAGCTGGTCTAGCTCCATACCTCCACACCAGCTGGTCTAGCTCCATACCTTCACACCAGCTGGTCTAGCTCCATACCTCCACACCAGCTGGTCTAGCTCCATATCTCCACACCAGCTGGTCTAGCTCCATACCTCCACACCAGCTGCTCTAGCTCCATACCTCCACACCAGCTGCTCTAGCTCCATACCTCCACACCTCCACACCAGCTGCTCTAGCTCCATACCTCCACACCAGCTGCTCTAGCTCCATACCTCCACACCAGCTGGTCTAGCTCCATACCTCCACACCAGCTGGTCTAGCTCCATACCTCCACACCAGTGGCGGTATCCGGTGAGACCAGACCAGTGGGTCTCTGGTTGGTTCAGTGGCTCCCTCATCTTTTTTTTTTTTTTTTTGAGACAGAGTCTAGCTCTATCATTAAGGCTGGAGTGCCGTGGCATGATCTTGGTTCACTGCAGCCTCTATCTCCCAGGTTCAAGTGATTCTCCTGCCTCAGCCTCCTGAGGAGCTGGGATTACAGGCATCTACCATCACATCCGGCTAATTTTTGTATTTTTGGTAGAGACAAGGTTTTGCCATGTTTGCCATGAGGTCTCGAATTCCTGACCTCAGGTGATCCACCCGCCTTGGCCTCCCAAAGTGCTGGAATTACAGGTGTGAACCACCGTGCCCAGCCAAGCGGCTCCCTTTTTTACATGAACTGAAAGCCACAGTCTTCTTTTCCCCCCTTTCAGGAAAGGCAGCAGATATGAAGATAATGAATTAGTCGTGATTGATATCACCTCTTCTGCCTGGTGCCCTTTGATATTAAATTCAGACCATCTCTCAGGTACTTTCTAGGGGGCTGAAAAGGAAGTAACAGATTTGGCAGCTACTTCCAGATCCACGATGTGTGCTGCCCGTGAAGATGGTCAGTGACTGCTCAGCTTACTGTCAAGGAACAGGGCAAGCTCATCTTGCTGCTGCAACAGTCACTGCACACTCTACAGGCCGTGTGCACATGCTCCGGAAAGCCAGCGCCATACCGTCGGGCTCTGCTCCAGTTAGTAACATTTTATAGGAGGCAAATAATTGGGATGTTTCAAAAGCAGGGCATGTTAGGATGGCCTTATTAGTAGACATCAGGTATTTTGAGACGCAAATCAATTGAAGCATTTTTGTATACAACTACTACAAAAAGTGGAGAAAACCAAAAACCTTCTTCAAACATCTCGTGCACACTGATGAGAAATGAGAGACTGGGCTGAAGTCTGGGGGAAGGAGGATGAGTACAAGACGCGTGTCAGGGAGTGTGTTAGCAACCTTTTCTGCTGGGGAGTTACATTTTCAAGTCTTGGTGCAAACAATGCATCTGGGGAAATGGTGAGTGTGCGCCCATGCCAGCATTCCTGCCATTTCGAGTTCTTTCACAGCCCGGAGCCTCTCTACAGCAAGCATGCACTTCGAATTTCTTCTTTAGGATTTTTTTAAGGTTGAGTTGGGTTAATATCATGAGGCCATATTTCTGGGAATCGGTACCTTCATTTCTTTCAGTCCCTGCATGTATTTGCCTTCTACATCCTGAATCTGGTCCTTTAACTCACTGAGTTCCTGGGGAAACGGCAAAAAAGGCAGGTGATGTCAAGGAAAAGAGGTATTCCCTAAATCTCTCAGACTTCAGGGTGGTTTCTATTTGGATAGTCTGAGCTCCCGATTTTCTTTTATTAAGTGTTAAAGGAAATAAAATATACTTCAATATTTAAAGATTAAAATTCTGGCGTATCCCATATGACATTTCACATGATTTCATGCGATTTTGGTGTATCTCATATAACTTTACATAGTTTTAAAAAACAGGCAGAAGTGCTTCTGAAAATGGTACAGGTTGTTTCAACTCCCATTTAGCAATTCATTCAAGCACTTTGAGTCCCTACTCTGTGCGAGGCACGGTAAGATGCTAGAGGCAGGAATCAGCAACACTTTGTCCCTGCATCTGTGGAGCTCCGAGTCTCTACTTTGCCAAATTCCTGGTGCCTGGGACAGCAACTGGCATGAGCCAGCCTCTCACTAAGTACTTGCTGAACAAATGAATGATGTGCGCACCCTAAGGGCAGAGACACGAGGACTGCCTCTAACTCTGCTGTAGAAAGGGAGGCAGCAAGGAGCTGCAGGTGGCCCTGGGGTGGCACATGGGCAACAGCTCTTCTGGTTTTGAAAACTTCTAAAGCAAAGGCATTGGAAGCATCTTCAAGGTGACCCTGGCCAACCTCTGGCGGATGCTTAAATCCCTCTCCGTCTTCCCTAGCAAACGGCCATCCAGTTGCTCAGCCAACCCCAGTGGGAACTGCTTCCCTTTCAAATCTAGTTTAAAGTACTAGAAAATTCAGAAACGGAGTCAATTCTGGCTGCTTTCAGCTCCTCTGTCTTGGTTCTGCTCCCAGGAGGACACAAGGTCTAGTCACTTCAGCTTCCTTTCCAGTCTTCAGGTTTTCAGGCACACTGTCCCTAGTTATGTAACAAATAGCACTGTTTCTCTCTCACACACACGAAATGCTACCAAATGCCTGGCACTGTCCTGGGTGCCGAGGATAGAGCAGAGGATAATACCCACATTATAGTGGGAGGAAAAAAATCATTAAAATACAAAGATGAGGTCTACTAAAGGCATATTACAAAGAGAAAGGAAAGGGCATGTTCTAGGCTGAAGGGGAAGATACGTAGCCGGGAAAGTTGTGTGAATGTAGGTAGAGCCACCTGCAGTCCAAACGCGTAGACTGAACATCCACACAGACCAACCAGGCAGAGACGGCCAGGCTCATCAACGCCATGGGCGAGGACTCTCACTAAGGTACACCCCGGGTGCTGAGGGGCGAGTGGGGTCGGTGGGTAGGATCGGCTTCCTGCAGGAGACACTATCTGAGCTGGGTCTTGATGTTAGGAGAACACCATATTTTAGGGGAGGTGAGGCAGACAGGACCAAGAAGAAAGATCCAGAACGTTATGAATTAAGTCACCTGTTTTAAAATCTAAACTCTGATTTTTACAAAAGGTTTCTCAAGTCATAAGTAAGAAGAGAGTGTCTCACCTTGATTTCCCTGATGGATGCCTCGGTGTCGATGGAGATGGAGGTGTCTCCACTGCCCCTCCGGGAGGAAGTCCCACCCAGAGAGGCCAGCGTGGCTGCAGACAGGCCTGGCATGTTACGCAACCCCTGGAATGGTGACAGGATCAGATGCTGATACGGTTCGTCTCTGTGTCCACACCTAAATCTCATGTGGGATCGCAATTTCCATAATCCCTACATGTCGAGGGAGGGGCCTCGTGGGAGGTGACTGGCTCATGAGGGTGGTTTCCCTCATGCTGTTCTTGTGATAGTGAGTGAGTTCTCAGGAGATCTGATGGTTTTATAAGTGTTTGACAGTTCCTCCCTCACACATTCTCTCTCTCCTGTCGCCTTGCGAAGAAGGTGCCTGCTTCCCTTTTCACTGTGATTGTGACTTTGCTGAAGTCTCCCCAGTCACGCGGAACTGTGAGTCAACGAAAGCTCTTTTCTTTGTAAATTACCCAGTCTCAGGGAAATTCTTTATGGCAGTGTGAGAACGGACTAATTTTAGACAAAACCAAAACTGCATATAAACCTAATATCACAGGACTGTTACTTTCATTCCATTTCCATGGAATTAAAATTGGAAACTCTTCATGGACTTATGGAAGCTATAAGGAGAGATCATTTCCAGGCACCTCCTGTGCTCTGAGATTGGATGAATTAACCCTAAGCTCCACGGTGGGGCCCGTCACAAAGGCCTCCCTGCTCTGCAGGGTCTAACACACACTGGACAGGACTCACGGGGGCCTCCCTCCAGGGAAGCGATGTCAGGTTGGGTGGGGCGCTTTCTAGTCCTGGTCCCTCATTGAGGAACATCTTTATGAAAAAGACCAGACAACATATTTTCTCATCAATTTCATCCGTAACTTTTGGGACCCTCTAGGTTTATGAACAATTCCTTACCTTCTCAGTAAAATCTTTTTCTGGTCTCTCTTCTACCTGTAGAGGAAAATGGACAGAATAAGGCGTTAAATGGACAACATGAAGATAGGGGCTAAGAATGATGAAAAAACATGCTCTTCCTTTGTAATTTAGAAGTAGAAAAGTGGGACACTCCAAATTTGGCTTTTCACACCTCTCTTATTTGGACGTCCCTGAGGCCCCCTCTTCTCCTGTCCTCAGGTAGGAGTCTCAGTGGGACCCACAGCAGCCTCTGGAACTACAAGAGGGGGTGCACATGAGGAGCAGACCCTGGAGAGGGCCCTGAACCACCAGGGTGTATCGGGGCAAGAGGCCGAGGCTGGCATGGCTGTTACGTCTTTCTTGGCTCAGCATCTAACAAAAGACAGCTTTCTTTTTTTCTTTTTCCTGTTTTTTTCCCCCTGGTGGGGAGGGGGGCTTGTTTAAACAAAGATTAACTACCTGAAATGCTCCTTTTTTTTTTTTTTTTGCACACTGAAGGTTCTTATCATAAGCCCACTGGGAAGGTGACTGAAGTTGAGTTTGTCTCTAAACTCTCTGGGAAAAGCTGTCAACGAATCGTGTTTTCCCTGTCATGTCTTCAATCCAGCTTCCCACAGCTCAGAACGTCTTTACTTCGACCACCAGAAAATCAGCCAAAGACATGCATGGCAACTGCAGACCGTATCTTTGATTCAGCAGGTCTGAGAGGTGACCTGGGACTCTGCAGTCACCCTTGTGAGTTTACACAGAGATAATTCAGAATGAAGCTTGGGAATCCCGATGGAGCCCTGCCGAGGCCATGGCTCACCAACACTTGAACTGCACAGATGCTGGTGCCGGGGACCAGCAGGTGTTATGGTCGGGGTCCAGAGGGATGGTGAGCTCCAAATGACCACTTCCAATCTTATGGCCCGAGTCCATACTGGGCCAGATGCCCCTGCCCTCACCATCCAGCCCGACCAGGAAGGTTCACTAACCGCCACCTTCCGTCCTGCAAACTCTTTGCACCTTCAACTCCTCCTCCAAGGACACCTGGAGCAACCACTGAAACAACATAACCAGGAGTTACAGCTGGGCAGCCAATTAAGGGGACCAAACGGAGTCCCACAAAATGCTCAGTTAATCCAAAAGAAATTAAAAATCCAAGACCAGCTCTTAGCTCAGGGTAGCCAAGGGTCTGCTACTCAACAGATCCAAGCTACACCCCGCGGCCTGGCTCCCAAACCATCACATGGCCTCACCCACCTACCCCACATGCAGGTCTTCAAAATAAACTTTCTACTCTCCTCTAACCAGTCTCCTGCATTTGCTGATGTATAAAAATGCACATCTAGAGTTAGTTTTTCAATGTGCATGCCACATCAGCCTATGTATTCAGAGGCACCAAGGCAGACTCCGATCAGATGGGTACAATCTCATCTAGCGGAGCTGCAGAAGCCCTGCAGCCATGTCCTGAGTTGCGGGGATGATTGAAGCAGTTCAAATATGGTTCTTCTCTTCATGTGGGAATGAAAATATTCCTGAAATATTTTTCAAATGTAAATTTCAAGGCCCAGGCATGGTGGCTCATGCCTGTAATCCCAGTACTTTAGCCCGAGGCAGGCAGATCACTTCAGGTCAGGAGTTCGAGACCAACCTGGCCAACATAGCAAAACCCTGTCTCTATTAAAATTACAAAAATTAGCCGGGTGTGGTGACATGTGTCTGTAATAACAGCTACTCAGGAGGCTGAAGCAGATGACTCTCTTGAACCCAGGAGGCGGAGGCTGCAGTGAGCTGAGATTATGCCATTGCAGTCCAGCCTGGGTGACAGAGTATAACTATGTCTCAATAAAATAAAATTTCAAATAACAAGGAAATGTGAACTATCTAGCACTTACTTTGCTAGAGAATCAATTCATTAAACCTCCTGGGCCCAAAGCCTTTATTCTTTAGAATAAGTTAGTTCGCAGAACAAATATTAATAAGTGAAAATAAAGAAGATAGTTTAACTCTTGATGGGATATGAAAATCCAGTTTAGGCTGGGTGTGGTGGCTTATGTCTGTAATCCCAGTACTTTGGGAGGCTGAGGTAGGCGGATCATGAGGTCAGGAGGTCAAGACCAGACTGGCCAACATGGTGAAATCCCGTCTCTACTAAAAAATAGAAAAATTAGCTGGGCATGGTGGCTCGTGCCTGTAATCCCAGCTACTTGGGAGGCTGAGGTAGGAGAATTGCCTGAACAGGGACCCGGGAGGTGGCGGTTCCAGTGAGCTGAGATTACACCACTGCACTCCAGCCTGGGCTACAGAGCGAGACTCCATCTTAAAAAAAAAAAAAAAATCCAGTTTAACAGACTGCCAAGTGAACCACTGAAAGCAACTGGCATTTGGCTCCACGGTGTAAAATGCGTTTCTGGCTGCTGGTCAGCAATGGCTCAATATTGTGTACAAATAAACGAAGCTCCAGGTATGCGTTCGTCTACCTATAAAGAAAGCTGTGTCCGTAAAACAAGGGCCCACCAAGTCTTTTTTTCTTTTTGATATTTCTTGCAAGACAGCTGAGAAAGAATACACACTGGGCCCATAAACCTTAATTTTGGAGGGACAGGGCTTTACCACATCTTTATCCTGCATGGTTTTACGTCTATTGCTTTTATAATTTGTAAAATGTCAAATAAGGGGAAAAAACTCCCAAAAACCATAGTTTGCTGTTTCTATCATTTTTTTTTTAAAAAAGTCTGTGCTCTGAAGAACGTAACAGACTCAAAAGAAAATCTGGGCATATTTTAAAGTAGAGACCAGGCAGAAAAAAAAATAAAAATTAAGCCCTTGATGAAAGCTGATGGCAAATGTACGTGCAACCTTTCTCTATTTTACATAATAAATTTCATTTTGTGTGTTGTCGGAATGAAAAGGGATTTGCCAGCAAGATTTCCTGAAACACAGGAAGGCAGCGCAGCCCGGTGGAGAGCCACGCAGCCCCACTGGCGTCCACCAGATGGCGGTGTGTCGCTGCCGCAGGGGCCAGGCCCGGACAGAGGGCACGGGCAGTGGAGCCCACCTTAACCAAGCCCCCTTTCCTAAGCCCTCGCAGAGCCGGGTAAGGAATCAGATGGTGTGTTTCATCTCAACATAAAGCACACACTTCCTCTCTAAAATGACGAAGAAATGGAACCCATGCCAGGATTTTAAACACTGTCATGGCCACTGCACGGCCTGGTGTGGAGGCCTGGAGGAGGTGTGCCTGGTGCAGAGCGGGGTCAGAGGGCACAGTAGCCGCAGGTGGTGCAGGTTGCTCTGCCCGCCCACCCCAGCCCGGGACGGCCGAGCACCGAACGCTGCAGACAGAGCAGCCTGTCAGCGTCATGACTCTCGTATTTTGAGCGATACTAAACATTTCAGGCCAGAGTGAAACTTCACACGAACAGGTTTATACAGTATTTGTGTCGTATTTTATAGCCACAGCTGAGTATATACAAAGACACCGTTGAAAATCTGGAAATAGTCACTTTTAAAATTTGTCTGTGGAATTAGTTTATGTCAACTTTCCTTTCAAAAGCAAATGTTTCAAGGAGTACATTAAATAGTTTATTAATCCAACCTTCTGATATTGTGTCTAAAGGAGTTTACTACTTAGGTTCATGTACACACGATGCCTGGCGAGGCTTAAGCGCTAGGTTTTCCATGTTTCCTAGAGACAGAGGACCTGTTCACGGACCCAGAGGCACCCTATTCAAGGGCCCAGGTACAAAAAGGAAGCTGTCCCCAATGCCCAGCCAGGCAACACCAGACCCGGGTGGAAAACGGGATCACTGAAGCCACATCCTCGCAAGGTCCCTCTCCAGACACAAGCTAACAGCAAACACTGCTCAGAAAACTCCCATTTTAAGGGTCATTTTCCTTCAGATTTCAATGATAGCAGAATCTACCATTAGAGTGACAGTTTTTGGTTTTAAATCCAATAATATTTACTTTAGCCTGAATGACTTATCTTTGAACTCTGGTGTTTATAATTCAAGACCTGTTTTTCCACCTGGTCCCTGCCCCTGCCTCTTTGTACAACAAAAGCCATGAGTCAAAACAGTGTTGTTTTTCTAGTTCAAATGGGCAGAGATCTGAGTCCATCGCTCCTGTTTTCTCTGAATACGCAAGGTAAGATACGGACCTGCTTTCTCCTTGGGATAATCCTGTTGGATGTTTCAGAAATGTGGTGGCTTTGCCAGGTTCCCAGTGGGATTCCAGGGCCTGGATGACCTGGACCTGTCAGCTTCACCAGGCAGTCGCTCTGCTTGGGGTGGCCCAAGTCTGGGCCATGAACCCTCCGGATTCCAGCTCTCCAGGCACCTTTACCTCCCCACACACCCACGCTGCTGGGCTTCACACCACGTGTGATCACCCGATGAGCATCTGTCTGCCCCTGTCTGTGTGTCCCATGAGGGCTGGGGCAGGTCTCTGTCTGCTCATACAAGGGCCCTGTTTCTGGAACATTCTAGGCGCTCATTAAACACTGAATGAACATAATGTCCTCAAGGAGAAGATCCTGGCCATGCTGGAGGGGAAGAAAACACAGCTCATCCACAGCATGGGAGAAGATGAGAATGAGGTGAACATATTCTGTGTCCCTCTGAGATGGGGCCGATATCCTCTCTGCTTTCCGAAGGACCCTGGGAGGACCAAGGGAGTAGAAAAAACTTTAGGTCTTGACCCTGGTGGTGGTCTCTGGACACTGAAGCAGTTTATTTTCTTGAAGTGGGACAAGTGGTCACTTCCTTCATTCTGGTTACTACTGCCCTTGAATGCCACTGCCCTCCTGCCACCCCAAAGGGGGCACCAGCCCTCCCTCCCCTCTGACAAGTGTGACAAGTTCACCTGTACACCTGCATCCCCCAAACGCAGGGTGGGACTTCCTGTAGAGACTGCAGGGCTGCCCCTGCCTGACTTCACATTTTCCTTGTCCCCTGTCCTCACTCAAACTGGCCCTGGATACGTGTTCCTGATGATGTCCTGGGAGCATTTTCCATGAGCTGCTCGCTGGAACAACTGTAACCCGTCCCTGGCTAACCCCAGCCACGGAGAAACAAGTTTCCATGCCCCTTTGTGTTTGGTTATTACTGCTTTTTTTTTTTTTTTTGAGACAGTCTCACTGTGTTGTCCAGGCTGGAGTAGTACAATGGTGTGATCTTGGTTCACTGCGAGCTCCACCTCGCAGGTTCAAGTCTCCTGCCTCAGCCTCCTAAGTAACTGGGATTACAGGTGTGCACCACCATACCTGGCTAATTTTTGTATTTTTAGTAGAGACAGGGTTTCACTACTGAGGTCAGGCTGGTCTCAAACTCCTCATGATCCACCCTCCTCGGCCTCCCAAAGTGCCAGGGTTAGAGGCATGAGCTGCTGCGCCTGACCTGTTTTTGCTATTTAAGGGTGTCGTGATGCCTCTTTCCAGGGGAAGCACAGGAAGCTTATGTGCCAGCTAGATGTCCCAAACCAGGAAGGAGAGCTGTGACATTTGAACCTGGGTTCTGAAACACCTTGCCTTAAAGCACTTCCTGCTCCATGTGACCCTGAGGAAGGCCAGATTGGAGGGTCATTTGCCTTTGCCCCCATGCTCACCCTAGGCCCTGCCCAAGACCTACTGCTCCTCCCTCCCAGGAGGAAGGATCGGGGAGTCCCATCCAGGCCCTCCTGGCTTCTTCCCATCAACAAAGCCAAACACATCCACCAATACTTTCTGTTGTACCAGGAGGTCCAAAATACACAGCAATGGTGTAAGTGTCCCAAGAAGGAAAACAGAAATGGAGTCGATTGAGTGTAAGAGGACCGTGAGTTTTGGAAATTATGGAAAGAAGCCAGCTTACTTCTGTCTCCCAGGCTCCCTTCAGATACTAGGGATGCTGCCTGTGCTCGCCGTCCTTCTATCCTTAACGTGATCAATCAAGGAATACTGTAACCACATCCCCTAGGGAACTGCCCTGTACTCTGCAGAGACCTCTCTGCATTCTAAGAACCACATATAGGAGGTTTCATCAGATGTGGGGTCCCCAGCCACCATGAGGCATCCAGGATGAGAAGGAGGACAGCCCCGGCCCTCACTGTGGCATTCTGACCTTCATTCCCTAAGCGTGCCAACCGCCCCACGAGCAACTGACCTTTGTTAGCTGAGCAATGGATTCAGGGAAGGAAGAGCAGACACGAGGAGGTCACCCGCCCCCCATCAGGCCCCAGGATGCCCAGGAAGGCGGACCCCACATCTTTCTGTTCATGATCATCTACTAAACCTGCGAGTAAATTGACGAAGAAATCTGTATTATTTCAATCTCTTCAATTTCATATGACGAAGAAATGTGTATCATTTCGATCTCTAAGGGGCTGTGTGGAGCGCTGTGACTTCATCATAGGCTTGAATAAAGACGGTATTTAACAAAATCCAGTTGCTGTGTCTCACTAGAATCACACAAGGCAGAGGGTATGACGGGTGTCTGAGATTCACTGAACGTAAAGCTACAACATTCTCTGTCAATGGTAGATACTTATATTTGCCTTTTCTTTTCCTTCTTTTTGAGTCAGAGTCTTGTCATCCAGGCTGGAGTGTAGTGGTGCGATCTCAGCGCACTGCAACCTCTGCCTCCCGGATGCAAGTGACTCTCCTGCCTCAGCCTCTTGAGTAGCTGGGATGACAGGTGTGAGTCACCATGCCCAGCTCAGGCTGGAAATTTTGATATGAGTAGAGGCAGAGAAGCCTCGCCCATCTTTGCTTCTTCTCCCCAGGGTTTCCTGCTGGCTCCTGAGGGTGGGAACCCTGGTCTGGTCTTGCAGCCTGGAGCCCCTTCCCCAGCGACATGCCCACCTCCCCTCCTCCATTTCCACACCCCCGGGCCAAAACTGTCCTGCAAAATCTTCCTTTAAAAAGAGCGATAGCATCACCTTAAAGCATCAGATCGGGTAAAACTGTGTCTAAAATCCCAAGACCCTGGGAAAATACACACGAGCCTCACGAGCTGGGGGTGATCTCATGGGGCCCTTATTTTCTGAAACAAAGCTTGGGCCATGCTGAGTGACAAACAGGACACAGGGCTGTAAATCTGCCCATTTCGAGGGATCTGAGAAGCATCAGGGTGACGAATGGTTGGGGCAGAACCGGGAGCGTCCCGGCAGCTACATGTCATATTTTACCTTAAACACGGTCTGGGTCTGATCACGGATAACACTTCAAGCAAAACATGAACAGTCAATACTTCCTATCTTTAAATCATATAAACCCCACACATCCGTGCACAGGGCTCTATTTTTTCTCCCAGTGTATAAAGTTTCCCTCTTCTAAGATCCCCATCTGTAAGTGCTGCTGATGATTTCTTTTATGGCCTTGAAAAGTCGAGCAATGTAATCCTAATAATATCACCGCAGAGCAATATTCTAAATTTGGAGACGTTGGAAGAGGATGGTGAAGGAAAGGGGGAGGGAGGGCGATGCTGAGCAGGAGCAAGGCCAAGAGGCCGACTTACCACAGGGCTGGCCCGGGCCGAGCTGGCCCTGGAGGAGGCGCGGGAGCTAGAGTTGAGGTGGCCGCTGTACTCCGAGGGCTGCCCACACGGTCGCCGCCAGGACACGCAGCCAGAAACAAAGGAACAGGGTCAGCGGGGGAGTAAGGAGGATAGAGGCCGACAGAAAGCATGCTGCAGTGAGCGGTGGGGGTTAGGCGCGCACGGCAAGGCACAGAGTTAGGGTTAGACAGCAAACACACATTCAAATCGATGCCTGCTAAGAATAAAAAAATCAGTTACACCATCAGAGGAACACAGAATTTCTCAGAGTTAGGAAGAAGAAAATCGCACAAAGCACGCATTCAATGGGTGTGGCCACACCTAGTGCAGACACAGAAAGCCACCTGGTGGATACGGAAATGACTGTTTTGAGAATTTAAGCTGCCTTCCAGCACAGAAGCGGAAGACTCGGAATGGGAACAGTTTCGCTTCTCCACCATCTTTCCAAGTGGAAGCGAAATGAGACGCGGGGTTAATACAAAATCATGTACGGCTTTTAACATGGCCAGATTACCTTCTACCTGGGTGGCTGCTTTGTACACATCTGTCTATCCATTTATCTGAACTTTCTCACTTCTGGTGAAGGAAAACACCAGCAGCGGGCTTATCTGGAAGCCGCGCCCTCTGAACCTTGATTTGTACTCATATTTGCTAGTCTTAGATACATTTTCATGTTACCACAAACATTCTCATATTCTTCTTGAGCAAGGCACTGCGGGGCAGGGGCAGGACCTGAGCACTATTTAGGATCCCAACACGTCCCGAGGAGCATCTTGGAGAAAGACCCATGGAGCACCCTGCAGAGAGCCCCGCCACTGGTGAAGCTCTCCACTCCAGCCTCTGGACACCCTGGACTGTGCCGGGCGCAGACCACTCTGCTGGCCTCACAGGCTCTGCTGGGGACCTGCAGGGAGTGCCTGGCTTGCGAATTCTAAGGAAGCCCAGATCTTCAGGGGTGCTCATGATCTCATCTCTTGGTTTGCTTCCTCACCAGGGCTAGTGACCAGATGAGGCAAACTCAAGGAATACTTGTTGAATGGATGAATGATTTCAACTGTAGACTAAAATAACCATCAAGTGTCAACTGAGGGCATTACATATCTTACAGGATGGGCAAGTTCCCCAGACCCATCTTACCTCTGTTTTCTTTGATAAATGTTTACTGTACACTCACACTCAGGTGTGAGACGTCATTTAAGATACACAGATAATACTGCTGTGTCTACACCACATGTACACCATCAATGCCACATTCGAGTTATATCAGAAAATCACCAGTATTACTAGCCTCGCTTTTTGGCTTTATTGTTGAAAATAAAGGAAAACACTTGATGTCAGCACTTAAAAGCAGAAGGACTTTGCCTGAGGGTTGACTGATGTGAGAGAGAGGAAAACTTCATCCTACAGACAAACCCTACTCCAGTCTATGCCATTCATGCCCTGCTTTACGGTGCAAACATTCAGGGAATTGTGAATAGAGCTTACTGCCCATCCAAGGTTCCCTAGGCAAAAACAGCTCGCAAACCCTCCAACTCCACCTCATCATGCAGAAAAGAGTAACATCAAAGCCTGTATCGCCATGGTCCACATGCACCTTATGTTTAGGGTTCTGTGGCTAACGTGCAGCTAATGTAAGTCAGAAAGCTGTAAGTTTGAATCGCAGCTCCGTCTCTCATTGGCCTTGTGGCTGTGGAATTTCCGTGCCTGTCGTCTGTGACATGGAAGTAAGGACATGGACCCCACAGAGGAGCTGAGACCTAGAAAGGGAGGGTGTGTTGGGCTTCTTCTCTATTTTCACTTTCTGCCAGAAATAACTTCCTCAGCTCTTGGATGAGATGACGCTGCTGGTGACGGCTATGTCTCAGCTGTGTTGCAACACTGAAGAAAGTCACCTCATACTCAGGGGCTGTGCGGGGGCAATTCCTGGTCCTCCAGGGGCGGGGTGAGTCCTCCATAGCAGGACCAGGGCCGGTATGCAGTCCTGGGGGCAGCCTGGACCCTGAGGTCATGGCCACGTGGGGCTGGGACCTCAGGCCTGGGCGCTGGGGCTGCTCTGGACATCATCCTGGGCTGCCACCTCCCTACACGCTGGACTGAGAGCTGGGGTGCTCTCTCCCAAGTCCTGCCTGTAAACATAAGGAATGGAGAATCCACTTGCAGGGGAACTGTGAGGGTCCCACCAAAAGACGGGAGAGGTTGGGAGCTCAGGAACTTCCTCGTCCCTTCCCTCCTCCTCACGATGCTAATTTGCTGCCCATTTAGGCAGCTGTGCTGCCAAGATGACCTTCTGTTTTCTTAACTCTCTCAGGCCATGACTCTCAGGCAATTCCTGTGGGGGCTAAAAGCACAGACATCTCTGTTCCCTGAAGAGCAACGAGGGCCAAGGATCCAGGGGCTGACGACCCCAAAGCCATCTCAAAGGTGACACAGTGGCACCTAGAGACACAAGGAACCTCTGTCCTGCCAGATCGTACAATCTCTGCTAAGGCCGCCAAAAAGCCACCTGATGCTTGGGGACAATTTAAAGAATTAGTATGCCCCTTCTTTTCTGAGAAAAGAAAATCGTTTTGTTGTGCGTTATCCATCACATCATAGGCAGGGCCATTTCAGTCTTCATGCACGGTTTATGAGCTTTCTAATGGCCTATGAAAACGTTTACGAACTAGGAAGAATATATAATACAGTGGGCTGAAAAATACTGAAAACTTATACAATATGAAAACAGATAAATGCGTAATTAGTTGTCGACAAAAACTAATGCTATATCGCCTATTAGATTTAATGTTTATAAACGACATTTTAAAGAAAACTGTAGGTGAGACTGGCTTACAGCTTAAGAATTCAGGAATATCCATGACGCCTGGACAAAGCGTAGTGAGCCATAAAAGCAGATTTAGCCAAGTAAGTAGCTGATTAACTTCAAGAGCAAAATTGTAAAAGCATTTCAAGTACTTCTTAGTAAATCATTCTATTTCCTGGAGGGCCTGAAGGCATTTTTATAGGACTGGGGAGGAGCCTCTGAATATAGACGAATCCCCCACCAGGGAGCACTGATTGGCACTGCATTTCCACAGGTCCCTGGGACAGGCAAGTTCATCTTCCCACTTCCACGGACTCCATCCCATTTTTCCACCTTGTTGCTCTTCTCATTCATTCATCCACAAATGTTTATTGTGCACCTGCTACACCTGTACTCTCACAGCTGAGTCTACCATTTCAAATTGAAGAAAGGGGTAGAAAGACAACAAAATAAAAACAGGGAATTAAATATGGGTGACATTCTAAGTTTTAAACTTTGTTCCTCTTCCTCAGTTACTCAGAGACAAAGCGAGGTGTGGCCTATCAAACTGCCCTTTTTCTCCTTTTATTAATTTAAGACCATTTCACGACCTGTTAAGTGTTGGCGTGCTGCAAAGAGGGCAGGTGAAAGTCAACGCAGGTTAGTCCCCCTGATGAGTACGGACAGGAAACCAACAACCACCAGCGATTTCCGGTTCACATTATTCATTGCAGGTTAGTCCCCCTGATGAGTACGGACAGGAAACCAACAACCAGCGATTTCCGGTTCACATTATTCATTGCAGGTTAGTCCCCCTGATGAGTACGGACAGGAAACCAACAACCAGCGATTTCCGGTTCACATTATTCATTGCAGGTGAGTCCCCCTGATGAGTACGGACAGGAAACCAACAACCAGCGATTTCCGGTTCACATTATTCATTGCAGGTTAGTCCCCCTGATGAGTACGGACAGGAAACCAACAACCAGCGATTTCCGGTTCACATTATTCATTGCAGGTTAGTCCCCCTGATGAGTACGGACAGGAAACCAACAACCAGCGATTTCCGGTTCACATTATTCATTGCAGGTTAGTCCCCAGATGAGTACGGACAGGAAACCAACAACCAGCGATTTCCGGTTCACATTATTCATTGCAGGTTAGTCCCCCTGATGAGTACGGACATGAAACTAACAACCAGAGATTTCCGGTTCACATTATTCCTTGCAGGTTAGTCCCCCTGATGAGTAGGGACAGGAAACCAACAACCAGAGATTTCCGGTTCACATTATTCATTGCAGGTTAGTCCCCCTGATGAGTACGGACAGGAAACCAACAACCAGCGATTTCCGGTTCACATTATTCATTGCAGGTTAGTCCCCCTGATGAGTACGGACAGGAAACCAACAACCAGCGATTTCCGGTTCACATTATTCATTGCAGGTTAGTCCCCCTGATGAGTACGGACATGAAACTAACAACCAGAGATTTCCGGTTCACATTATTCATTGCAGGTTAGTCCCCAGATGAGTAGGGACAGGAAACCAACAACCAGCGATTTCCGGTTCACATTATTCATTGCAGGTTAGTCCCCCTGATGAGTACGGACATGAAACTAACAACCAGAGGTTTCCCGATTCACGTTGTTCATGACCTTCATTACGATGGAAGGCGGTGGTGAACCCAGGGAACCGGTGCTTCCTCCTGAGGATGGCCAGTCACCCCCCACAGCTGGACCCTGCCCAGTGTGCATTCCCAGGCCATGCAGCAGGCAGCGGGGAAAGAGGGTATCATCGAAAGTGCCTTACAGCACGGGAGCCGCAGGCGCTGCCCCCTCGAGCCCCACCGAGGCTGCCTTCATCCAACACAGACGCCTGCAAGCAAAAGAGACTGTCAGGATGGGGCGCTCTTCCTTTCTCCAAGTGCCCAGACAGCACTGAAAATGTGAGCTGTGAAAAACGGACACGCGCCAGGAACGTGGCCTGAAAACATGTAGGGGAGGCTCAGAACCACCTTTCCAGCTCCTCAAAGGGCTGTGGAGTGCGGCAAGTGCAGAAATCAGGAGAGAGAGGCTTTAGTCACTACCAAGCGGCATGCAGTGTAATCTCCAATAGACCCATCTATTGTTTTGAAAAACACCCCATGCTAAGTAAACATGTGTTAACCCAGATTAAAATGAGCAGATAATTCCAACATCCTCAATTTTGTCATGACATTCTCATACTTGATGCTCAGAAAATTACTTTCATGTGAAGTGACTTTGGAATAAAATATCGAATTATGTTAATTACAGTTTTAATGCTAAATATTTTATAACCCTTTAAAAGTTAGTAAGCAGAAGGAAGAATAATTGCTTAACTGGAAAAATGCTACTTAATTAATCAGCGTGGGTAAACAGGAGCTTACAATGCCGCAATGGCGGTGTCACACTTTGCTTGGTGTAAAGGAACTTTTTTCTCCCTATTTTCCCTTGAGGACATACTGGTTTCCTCAGCCATTTATTTATGTATCTAATTCATAAGTATGCAATCTGATGGAAATTCAGAAAGTTATTAATGGCCAGGTGTAGTGGCCAACACCTGTAATCCCAGCACTTTGGGAAGCCGAGGCAGGTGGATCACCTGAGGTTGGGAGTTTGAGACCAGCCTGGCCAACATGGTAAAACTGTCTCTACTAAAAACAAAAAAAATTAGCCAGGCATGGTGGCGCACACCTGTAATCCCAGCTACTTGGGAGGCTGAGGCAGGAGAATCACTTGAATCTGGGAGGCAGAGGTTGCAGTGAGCCGAGATCATGCCACTGCACTCCAGCCTGGGCAACAGAGGGAGACTCTGTCTTCAAAAAAAAAAAAAGTTATTAACAAGACAATATAGCTACTTTGATTATTTTAAGATTCTTACATAGCATAAGTATTAATATTTAAAACTGGAAATTTCCAAAGAAATATAGTAACATGGATTAGTATCTGTCCAGGTTACCAAAGCATTAAAAAGCCACTTTCTTTCTGCCAGTAGGTAAAGTAAACACTGCTATTCCATTCCTGCCTAACAATCCCAGCGAACACAAGGCTTCCTGGAGATGGAAAAGGTTGGCAGCTATAGTCAGCAGTTGGGGATGGGGGAGAGCGGGGGAGAAAATCCAGATCTGGGCAAAGGGGACAGACAATCCCCATGGGCACGTGTAAGCTCCACATGAAGGTGCACCTTCCCCCAGGGGCTGCAAACAGGCACTTCCACAGCTCTGGGGTGGGGGGGCGGGGCATGCACAGTGTGGGGGCGGGGCACGCACAGTGGGGGGGCAGGGGCGGGGCATGCACAGTGTGGGGGCGGAGCACGCACAGTGGGAGGGGTGTGGGGCGGGGCATGCACAGTGGGAGGGGCGGGGGGCGGGGCATGCACAGTGGGAGGGGGTGCGGGGCAGCGGGGTGGGTAGTGCACGCACCCAGTAACTCCCAGAAGGCCGGGCAGCGCTGTACAGACAGGAGGGCTGAAGGATGAAAGCAAATGGCAGGTTTTCAAAGCCTTGAAAAAACAGCAACAAATAATAGCGAAAGGCCATCATGATAGTGTCCACTATCACCATAGCCAACTGCCGTACAGTGGTTAGACAGAAAAAACCGGTTGATTGAGGCCCCGTGTTTTCTGTAAATTTGATAGATGCGAATCCAACGTTTACAAGAAGGATACATGAGATGGTTTTTGACTTTAAAACAGTAAACTTCCCAGCATCTTTGAAATCTGGTCATTTCTAGTCTTTTCAGGCATGCCGGGAAGAAGGGTTGGGGGATGAGACAGAATGGTGACAAGTCAACACACCAACAGCAACAAAACCCACAGCGCAGAATCCAAGGTTAATGACACACTTGGCAGTGTTCAATATGTAAATGTCCACACGTGAAGACGGGCAGGAAGCGTGTTTATTTCTATCTGAGGGGCCCGGTGACAGTCTTCAATATACACAGGGAGCAGCCTTTGCCTCAGCTGGTCTGGGAGGCACCAGCTATCCAGCCCTGTCCAAGGAGAATCCTGCCTAGCACACACATCAGGGCGAGGCAGTGCTGGTGATGGGACAGGCTGGGACACAAAGGCAGCTCACAGTGTGCAGAGACTGCACCATGGAACAGATTCCGGACTCATTTACAGGGCACACCTCAGTAAGTCAGGTAAGGTGCACAGCCAGGCAGTGATCGCTCAGCAGCTCCAGCCGGCATGCGAGGGAGAGGACAGTTCAACCTCCAGATAGGACCTGGACTTTCACCCCTGACACCGACCTCCTGGGATTAGAGCAAGATTCGATACCTACATCTCACAGGCCAAAAACCCCAGGGCCAGACCTGATCCAACCTTGTAAAAACAGGAAACAGCGGGGACACCGAGCCAGAGAAATAACACTGTTCTGTCCACTTCTCAGAGACCAAGGAGGCAGATTATGCACAAAAACCTTCCAAATTGCTTCCTGGACACATTTACAAGAGAAAAAATATTTAAAAAGAAAACAAACGAAACCCCAAATGGGGAACAATTGATGGAAAAGGAGGAGTGACCCAAGAGACCAATTTTTTGGACTCCGGTTTTCAAAAATATGCATTTAATAAAACCCTCCTTTTCTATATTAGGTTCCAAATTATTTGACAGGCATGTTTCTAAAAGACTGAGAAAAGTCTTAGCAAACTAGTTGAGCCAATTAAAACACATGCTGAGCTTTGCTCTGTGACATTGTCTAGAGGAGGCTGAAGTGTCCACGAGATTTAATCAGCAATTACAGTGATTCACAGAAGGAAAAGGAAGGAGGGACAAAGTGGCATGAAAAGGAGACAGACCCAGTTTCCATTTGTGGCAGACAGAGGCGTGTGAGCCAGGCCACCACCGGGAAGGCCAAGGTTGGAGCTGGAGAGTCCCTGTAATCAGAGCAAATGGGCGGCAGAGAGGGGAGAGAGGCTCACACCCTCACCGTATCGCAAAGGTACATCAGTCCAGTGAGTTCAGCGATGACCTCATGCAAGCAAAACATAATGAGCACGCACTCTCGGGGAGGGCAAGAACGAGGGTCAGAAGGAAGTAAGGTGGCTGGGCCAGGCAACTGACAAGCTAGGAGAGGGGGTCAACTTAGGACTTTTGAGTTTTCGCACAGAAAAAAAGAATTCATTTTAATTGATATGAAATGCTGAAAGAAATTGTAATTGATGTTAGGAAGAGTCACCAATATGACATTCTACACTGATACCTTTCCATTATGATATTTAAATAAAATTAAACACGCCACGTATTGGGCAGGAATAGATTACACAGCACGATTCCCAGGAAGGTTCTGAGGGCGGGTGAATACAGGAGTTCTCGGGCAGCAAATGATGGGCACACAGGGCCGCAGGTCGAGGTCTGATGCAGCCCAGACTGAACGGGTGAGCTCTCATCCTGATGGGTAGCCCTTTGGATGTGGGTTATTTCTCTTAAGTGGATTGAAGTGAGTTAGATGCAGACTGAACTTGGGTTAGTCGTTCATATCTAAGGATGAGATCTTTATCGCCACCTTCATTTTAGAGCGAGTAACTCAGCTGATCAAAATGAGTGGGAAATAAAGTTTTCTTAACGAACAAGTGCTCTCTGCAACAGCAAAATCTCCCCCTGAATTAAGAAAACGCAGAAAGGCTTTTTCAAGGTGTTAAACCCACCAATGCTTTGGTGTTCACAACTGATCATATGCTGAGTCAAAACTCACCTACTGGGGACAGAAGGGCCATCAGCTTCCAGTGGGGGGGAGATTTATTATAGACCCGGAGGGCAATGGGAAGGGTTTAGAAAGCTGGCAAGCTGCAGGGGCCATGGAGCTGCCAGCAGCTTCTGCAGCCTCCCTGGGCACGAAGAGGGTGGACAAGGGCTGACAGAGGCGAGGAAGAAGTGCCCTGGCAAGAAAAAGAGCCCCCACGAAGGGAAATGGAAATAGGGGCTGGAAGGTGGGGGAGGGGCGGGGAAGGGTCCTAGCTATTTCTTCTAGAAGCATTTTGATGAGGTCAGTGACTACATGGGAGCGGGTAAAGGAAATGGCAGAGGAACTGCATAGATTTCATTTTCTGATTTCAGTTGGGGAGCTGCTTCTGAAGTCACCAGGTCCACAGAAAGTCCCCAGCAGCAGCACCCTGTGCTCAGTCACGCAGAGCCTCTCCTGGGTTCTCACTGTTCTGCTCGGTCTCTGTTCTGCTCAAATGGCTCCTTACCTTGAAGAGCTTTCCCTCCAGGCTCTACCTGGTTAGTTCCTGTTCTTTTCATTTGCTCTTCCTATTTATTTTGTGATGGAGTTTCTCTCTTGGTCACCCAGGCGGAGTACAATGGTTCGATCTTGGCTTACCACAACCTCCGCCTCCCGGGTTCAAGGGATTCTCCTGTCTCAGCCTCCCGAGTTAGCTGGGATTACAGGCATGTGCCACTACTCCCAGCTAATTTTGTTTTTGAGTAGACATGGGGTTTCTCCATGTTGGTCAGGCTGGTCTCAAACTCCCAACCTCAGGTGATCCGCTCACCCCGGCCTCTGAAAGTGCTGGGATTACAGGCGTGAGCCACGGCGCCTGACCCTTCCTATTTTTTTTTTAAGGTTCAGTTCACATCCTTTGTTGTTATATTTCCTGGTGAAACAGTGGCTCCCTCTCATTCTGTTTGATCGTCTGGTCACTACTGTACTGGTGTCTGGTGGGGGTGGCTTTTGTTCTAGAAGTCAGTGCCTGGAGGGCGCCTCCCTCCCCTGCTTATCTTTGTGATTCCAGGGCCTGCTCAATTTTCCTACCTAAACTAGTTCCCTAATTTGGCTGAGTGAATCTGAACCTAAACAAATACCACAACCCCTTAGCTATTTGAGGGCTCTTCGACAATTTGGATGTTATGTTTATGAAGACGGGTGCATGTTTGTAGAGAAGGGGCAGGAACTCTGTCGTGTAAACATCTGGATTTGGATGGGACTGGCTTTTCATTCCAAGTCTAGTTCATACCCAAGAAACTTCCACAAAGGTTGCATGTCCGCTTCAAAGTAGTTCTGTTTTCAGAAACTCTCAAGAGTTCAAGAGCATTCTTCTTATTTTTTTCCTTTTGATTAATTCTAATTAGAAAATATACACGAAAACTCGTGCTTCCGTGGCAGCCAGCTGAATGCCACGATTCACATTCAAGCTGGCGTGGTCAGCGCAGCACAGGGGAGTGCATCCGAGTGGAGGAGCGCATGTTAACTCCTGCCTCTCGCGTCAGCAAAACAGCTCCTCAGACAAAAACCTGTCAAATAGACACTGAAAGAGAAAAGTCAGCGGAATCCACACACACAGACTGCATGCCACAAAACCTGCGGGTTCTGAAGACAGGATGTGAAAGATTTAAATGGAAACCAACCAGCTTCCCCTCCCTGGATGACGACAACGTGGAGAATCTGCTGTCACCGCCGTAGCTGGAACTCTGAGCACCAAAGAAAACATGTTGAAGTGACGAGCACTTGCTTACGGCTCCAAAAGCACCCGCCATCCCATTCAAAAGGCAAACGCGAAACAGCACGACGAGCTAATGCTGGGACCCCAGGAATGCTGGTTTAGCTAAAGAAGCGGGACACAAACAGTGCAGCAGAGATTCCTAACAACTAGAGATGCCAAGCTTTTCTATTTCAGTGTTTCTGTCTTGGTGATGCCATGGGTGTATCTGGTACTGTTTTTCACAGTCTCACATCTCAAGCACAATTCATGGTTACTGAGTTTCATGCTGTGTTGTCAGTAACCTCCTAGTCTGAACTATCCTTGTTACTTAAGGATAGTAAGTAAAATTCCATTTATTGCAAAATTTTCCGTTTTTCTTCAGTCCAGCATACCTGAGGGCTATAGCTCAGCCCTGGGGTTCTAGAAAGGCAGGTGGAGCTGCTTCCACCCGTCCAGCTGAGAACCCTCATCCACAGAGGGAAAATGCCCTGCAGGCCATCTTTACGTGTCTTCAGTGTATATTTTTAAAATGTCACATCCAGCTAGGTGCAGTGGCTCACGCCTGTAATCCCAGCACTATGAGAGACTGAGGCAGGCGGGTCACCTGAGGTCAGGAGTTTGAGACCAGCCTGGCCAACATGGTGAAACCCCATCTCTACTAAAAAATACAAAAAAATTAGCCGGGCATGATGGTGGGCACCTGTAATCCCAGCTATTTGGGAGGCGGAGGCAGGAGAATCACTTGAACCCGAGAGGCAGAGGTTTCAGTGAGCCAAGATCGCACCACCGCACTCCAGCCTGGGTGACAGAGCAAGACTCTTACCTCGAGATAAATAAATAAAATGCCTGCAATGCTAAATAGGTGAATAGGAATGAGAAAGCTAAGACAACTTGATCAGCTGGTTTCAGAAAGCTAAGGGCTGGTTTGGTTGGGGAGAGAGAGGGAGGTAAGGGGGGGGTCACTCATTTGAAGCCCAAAAGTCTAATTTAAGTGTATAGTGATATCTTCATATAACGTAATTGAGATAAATGAAAAGAAATACTATTTTACATAATTAGGAATATTACTAAAAGAAAAAAATGAAGCAGTAAGAACACTAACACTGATAAATCCGAAGCCCCACCAGCCCCTGCCTGCCTCCCCAGTGCTCCGGCACTGGCACTGCTCTCTCCCCCCGGCCCCACCAGCATCACCCTTCCCTTCCACCAGCTCCTTTCCTGCTCCCCACCCCATAATTGTGAACCTTCCAAGCATCTGCATTGTTTTCTTCTCCTTTTCCTCTCCAGAAAAACACAGGCTCTGGTACACATGCCGTTAAGGTAAACATTAAAACTACAAATGAGACCTGTGAGAACTGCAAAAATATTGATTGAATATCTTTGAAAGCTGAGTACACTTAATACACACATGATACACTCACCCAGGGCAATGCAATAATGAAAGAGCTAATCTTTAATTTCAGTTTTTTTTTTTAAACTTAGAGATCCTTATCAATATCTATCCCTTACACTAACAATCAGAACATTGGAAGGCCAACATTCTCAGAATGTTTGGTAGTTGAAAACATTATCTTTCATTCCATCATGTGCTAGGAGAACACAAGACCCATCATAACATTTAAAAACGGCAAAGAAGTTACATTTAAATTTAGCAATTAGTTTTTAGTTTTAGAAGCTTTGAAACAACCTGTTTGAATTTTGAGCCATGCAAATTTACTGTACTAACCCTGCCAGCTCTTCTGTTCAGGGACTGTGATCCATGTAACTCTCCATCATAACCATTTGTCTGTTTCAATGAAGAAAAGAGAAAAACTGACATCAGTGCCCAAACGAATTCACAGATACAAATCAGCAGGGACAAGCCAGCCAGGTATAAGGTTAGCTTTCTCGGTGGAGCGGATGAATGACCAGCCCAGGACAGTACAAGTCCTAGCAGCCCCAGACTGCCTCCCTGTCCCCTGTCCCCTGTCCACTACCCCGCAGCTCAGGAGAGAACAGCACAGTCAAGCTAACCAAGTCAGCAGACTTCAGGTCACATGTCACTCTTAGTCTTAAAGTGGTACCAAGTCCCTCCACGGGTGGAGCATTTGGGCTTGGTGTGGCCGTTTCCTCATCTCTGTTTCTGGTTTCATGGTGACACTGTGGACATTCTGCTTGCAAGAAGCCACAGGCCAGGCTGGTGGGTAGTGATTTGGCCTGAGTCAATGAGCTTTCAGTTCCTGGTTCAGGGAGAGTCCTTGAAGATTACGGCACATTGTGACACTATAGGCTTAATTCAGAAGATTCAGAAATCATTTCTAGTCAATCTATAATTAAATGGAAAAGTTCATTGGGAGGTATATCCTCTATAGCAGTTTTTCATTCATCCAGCCTTCCTATTTTTCAAAATGAAATCTGAACACATATTTAATAATTTCCTAATGTGTCCTCTAGAATAAAGGAGAACAATTCTATTAAGTGTATGCCTGCCTTCCCTCTCTTCTCAGTTCCCAGCCCAATTTCCCTTAAGTCCAAGCATGGGCTTTCTAAAAGTCCCTTAATTCATCCATAAGGAAATTTCTGCTGATTCAAAATAACAGCTGGGAAGCATCAGAGACAAAACCAGCTCTTGAGACAGAAAAAGGAGGGGCAGTCTACACAACTGGTAAAAATCGAAGGAGACGCCACTGGGTCCTGGGCATGAGTCCAAATTCCAAACAGAAGCTCCGTCATGTGACCTTAAATAATTATTTAATCCACTTGAACATCCAGTTTTCCAGCCGTGAAACCGTGCATAATAATAAATGCATTTCAAAGCCATCGTGAGGATTAAGCGAGATGAAAATGAGTATCTCGAGCACCTAGAACAGTGCCCTCATGAAGCGTGTGCTTCCTGGGCGGATAGGTGAATCCACATGGAAGGGGCCTGGCACATGGCAGGTGCTCAACATGGTTCCTTATTTGGGGGCTGGTTGCTGTATAGCACATATTCTGAAGCCATGATATTAAAATATAAAAAAATAACTGAATTTCCAGATAGATTATAAATCCAGATTCATAAAACATTGGCAATAAAACCACATATTTATCTTTGCAACAACTCAAAACAAATCAAGAAATCCATTGGAAGTTTTGAAACAAAAGGAGCGAAGTCCTTCCGTGTTAAATTTGAGGATTCTATGAGTAACATTAAAACATTTCTGCAATAAATTTAATAGCAAAAATCTTTGGAGATTAGCTAGAGTTTTACTCAGGCGAATTTCCTTTCATGTCTTCACCAAGGAGATTACCTGACATGAAAATGCATGTCGAGGACTTGCGAATTTTAGATCTCAATCCCTTACCTCTGCGGAAACTAGACTAACAGAGTAGCGAAGGCTAACGACGACCAATTTTAGATGACTTTGATTTTACTAGTAAATGAGGAAGGGAAATGCATTACATAAGCAAGCCCTCTAGCCTGCCACCACTGCTTATGAGGACACCCCGCTGTAGAGGAACCCCGTCCTGTGGGCTCTCTTTCTCTAGCTCAGCCTACATCCGCAGAGCAGAAGGTGGGGAAGCTGGAAACACGACGGCATCCTCTCATTTGTCACCCTTCCACTTATAGCCTTCCCCAAAAACACAGGAAATCCTGCAAAGCAATTTCCATGAGCAGGTCTGTGGTAATGGAATTCTATATAATAGGCGTCTATTCCTCGGCTATGTTCCTAGAATGCATTCCAAAATCTATAGGGTCTTGTTGACTCTATCTCCATAGAGAAAAGTACTTTGACCTTCTTAAAAAACACTGCTTGCTTTCTCCTCTTGGATGGTGCTTTTCATGTTGTGGTTAGATGGGTTGGGCTATTTTTACGTGGCATAACAGGGTAAGGGGCGTTGACAATTAACTGAACAATATTAGGACAAAACGTCTATAGACGGCATATTAACTTCATCTTAAGTCAGGCCTCTGAGGCCAACAAGCTTCGCTCTACAGAATTCTTTTCCCGGCTCTCTACTGTGTGGTTTAAACGGTACACATGCTTGTTCAATTTGCTGGCTCCATGCTCCAAGGCTGGGTCTCAGAGGCGAGTCTGCAGACCACCTGCTTCGTGGTCACCTGGCATGCTTCTCGCGAGCATGGGCTCCTGAACAGGGAATCAGGATACCTAGAGGCAGGGCCCGGGAACATGCATGTTAACAAGCTCTCCAGAAACACCGCCATAAGAGAGAAGAAAATAAAGAGGACATACCTAAGTTAGTATTTCCTAATGTAGGATCAATAAGATACAAGGGAAAACGCCCTATGGAAGCGGTAACTTGTGACTGGTCCGAATGCTAATGACTACCATGCAGCGGCATCAAAGCGTCTGTGACCCTCCCATGGGACCATGCAAAGTCCTTACCAACTTTTTGGATTAATAATGTTAGATGTCTTTTCTACATGAGTCAAAACACAGAGCACATGTAAGGGCATTAGAGATAAGGCAGGCAACGTCAGAACTCTTGAGTTCAATCCCTGATGAGTTCTATTTAATTTTAAAAAAGAATTAGGACTGAAAAATATCCAAAATGCCTTCCTGACCAGTGCTAACATATACATTTATCATACTGGGGGCTAGCTCTTAAACAAAATGTACTTTGAATATAATATAAAAAGAGTAATAATCTAGCGATATTACTCAAAATCTAGCGTATTACACAAAAATACGTTTTTAAACAGGAATTTACTAAATAGTTGCTAATACACTGAATTCCTTGAAAAACAGGAGAGATGCTGGAGTTACAGAGCCACAGAAATGCTCTCACTGACCAGAGCAACTTGAAGAGCTGGTAAGTAATAGACTCTCAGTGAAGAGCACTTTCTGAATCTAATCACCTGTGCTTCTCCTGTCCTGACCCCGAGCTACTCACTCCAGCCTCTGCTCTCCTATCTGCTAAGAGGAGAACAGCAGCCCCTCAGGAGGCTCAGGGCGCCAGACATGCTATGCAGACGTATGCTCCAGTTCACTCACTATCACTGCAAACACAAAAATACGTTTTTAAACAGGAATTTACTAAATAGTTGTGAAATGCACTGGAATAAACAAAGCACAAATGCTTTTAGGTAAAGTCCTTCTGGAGAAATAGTATATAATGTACCATAATAACTTTAATATCAAGTCACTTTAATACTGAGCTGTGCTTTTCTGGGGAGAATTTTGTCTTCCTTGAAGTGAAACGTTGACGGAATTTTAGAAAGCATAAGGCACAGAAACTGTCAGAGAGATATAAGAGTAATTCTGAGTTTAAGTCTAAAGCCTTAGTGTTTGTTATGGAAGTGGGATCTTTCTCAAAGAATACCTTCTGGCCGAAATGTCAGATCGTACATTCAATTTGAACGGATACAGATCGGAAAATAATGGATTTTTCATCAGGTAAAATGAGTTTGCACTTAACCTTTTAAAGGAAATGTAGAGGCTTTGGGAATTCTTGATCTGATTTGAGTTCCGTGAAGGCAGACACTATCTTTTGCATCTTGCTATGCACAGCTGCTAACACAAGGTGTGGCGAACAGCTGGTGCTCAAAGACCATCTGCTGAGGGAGTGTTCATGCACGGATGCCTGGGTTCCTCCCTCCCGCCAGGATCAGGGCTGTGCCCCCAGGAGGAAGACTGCTCACTCTGTAGGGAGAGCCTGCCCTCCTGACTTCACAGCCCCCAGGCAAAAACTGGTAGACAAGGATGGCCTTGGCCTTGGTGTTTTAGAAAAGGACCCATGAGATTAGTGGAAAAACAACGGGTTATGATCTGTCACACCACACAGTTAGGTTCACACAGCAAAGTATATTCGACCATCTCACCCAGGTGTAGGGACCCCCATACTCCAAGTCAGGCTGCGACTGTCAGGGTAGAGATGGCAGAGGAAAACAGCAGAAAAGAGAGTTGCCAAAAGTCAATTTGAAAAGCTCAGTAAACACAAATACAAGCAATCTTTACAATCTTAGCAAAAATGCATTTTTCCATAATCTCTAGGATCTCATGTGTAATTACAAAAAGAATGGTGTCAGATGGTAGCTACCATAGAATCCAGTAGCATTAAATACACTTCCATGGCAAAGGTTGCTGTAATTCATGAAGTCTGAAACAGTTTGGTAAACTTATTTCCTCCTCTACATAGTATATTTTCGTTATATAAAGGAAAAGGTTAACAGATGCATCATCATCAATTTTTTTCAAAAAGGAAAATTAAAAACTTTTGACATCCCAAATCTAGATTTTTCTGGGGAGCCATCCATACGAACGACAGGACAGTATAAGCCACCTCCCCACCTTTTTTAGGGTTTTTAATCTTTGCCAGTTAAATGAAAAGGCCCGTGTTTTCAGAGTCGATAAATACAAGATATGATCTCATAACAGCACTCAACAACGTAAAAAGTTCGTAACATTAAAATACATAAAAACAGTAGGAATCAACTCTGGATAGAAATGGAGCGAAATGCGAGTCCTCATTCCAGGGAGTGCCCTGCTCCGTGGTATGGACAAGCAGGCACAGAGCCCAGGGCACCCAGTGCACCTGAACAGCAGGCACTGGCCTTGTTCCTAAGAACTGTGGCCCCAAGCATACCTCTTTACTGCCCTGGGCTTGTTTGGTGCCTATAAACATTAGGAGGTCTGACTCTCACCTCCAGAATCCAAGTTCTTAAGTTCTGAGGAATCTATTTCTTCGGATCAGGTAGAAAGTGTCATGTGGCCGAAAACGAAAATCCCATCCACTTTCACCCCTCTTATTTACTGTCCTAATGGTGAACCTCCTATGTGAAATTTCAGCTCTTAAAACAAATATACTTGATATCTTGGCAAAGAATGGTGTCCAGCAGAAAGATGTAGCTCATTTCTGGTTAAAAAATCATTGAAAATGAAATGAATGCTAACACAGCATCATAATGGTCCTTCATGTTGCCATTGTTTTCAACTGTCTAGGGTCAGGAGACCCCCTGAGAATCTTAAGAAAGTGAACATCCTTTTCCTAGGAAAACGTAAGTTTGCACGACATACTTCTATAATTTCCGGAGGGCGTGGCTCTGAAAACGATGCATTTTGACGAGAGTTTGGGATTCTGTGTCTCCGTCCCCTGTTCTCTTGAACCCATCTTAATCAGGTTTTGCCCTCGTTTCCATCAAAAGTTCTCCTGTCAAAGTCACTGACATCCTCTATGCTTCTAAGTCTGAGTTTTCTCCTCCCTTGGTCACCCCCCCACCCCATCCTCGAAAGAGCATTTTCTTCACTGGTTTCAGGGACTCAAGCTTCTCCTGGGCCTGCTCAACAGCTGTGATGTCTGTGCCTTGTCTACAGACTTTGTTAACTGAGCTTTGCATTTAGTATATTTTGGGTCCACAAATCTTCCCTCTTCTGGGGTGAGTGGTGTCGGAGGGTCCTGAGGAGGTTATGACAGCACCACTGAGGCTAAGTCTCGGGAGAAGGTCCACACAGCAAGGACGCATTCACATGGGCCTCACATTTGAAGCACAGCTTTTTGGGCAAAATCACCACAGATCTGCTTTTGGCACTGCGAGGACAGTGACAAGGACAGGGTCGCTTCACAACTCAGCGACAGCGTTTCACCTCGGCATTTTCTCACTATAAAAGGCCAATTACACACACACTCAGCGCATGTATCATAAGTCAAGAAGTAATAGGATTTAATTCTCACAGTGACGAAAAACAAGCCTTCAACTCTATATGGTCCCTAAGAATCACTAAAACGGAGTGGCTGCTTTGAGACTTATTACTAGTGGTGAGATGTCATCTCCATCCTGTGGTTAAAAAAAACTGACATGCTCAGAAACTGAGCAAAACATAGTTTTTCTATTTTACTTCTCCCAAAGCTCAAACTTTTTTCAAGTATAATTATTAAGATTTCTGGAATGTTTAAGGAAAAGTCTATATTTGTGTTGATTAACCATTAAGTCTGGCAGTGGTGAAGAGATCTAATTAGAATTGATACAAGGAAAAGCAGCCGAAGGCAGGTCTTCCAGATCTAGTCCTGGCCCAGGTTTCCACGCGGCAGCCTAGAGTGGCTATGGGAAAACACTGCTGAATAATAACGCACTTACAGCTACGTTAACAGAGCCTCCGATTCTACCAGGAGCATGCGTCAGTGGATGCAGACTTACCGAAGGCTGGTGCACCTTTGCGTTCCTGTGGAACACCAAAGTGCTGAGACGGCTGTGCTAATCAAGGCTTGGGAGCTTTGTGATGTGGACCGGCATTGAAAAAACATGACTTCATCTCAGAAGAAAGAAACAACCAGCCGAGGTGCCTGCTAATAATCTCTCTACGGCATATTAATAATCTCTCTACGGCAACAAAGAAACATCCCCCATTGATCTGACTTTAAATAAGCATCCCATCAGTTAAATATTGACTATTAGACTATGGGGTAATGGAGAAGAAATCTGAATGTGGGGATGAGGACGTAAAGGGCTTGGAGCACAAACCGTGCCATGCAAACTCGACCATTCTGGTTACTGACCCTCAGGCTTCCACGACTACCCACTGACATGCGCTCATCTTCATCAGAAGCCTATTAAAAGAAAGGACGAGAACAACCGTGAAGTGATCATGTAACACACTTGAAGAACCAGTGCCCATGCTCAGGGGGATGCTGGCGACTGACCCCACCCGACCCCAGCCGCCCCTGGACATCTCAGTGGACACGAGACTAGGTCCCCCACAACATGGGCTTTGTGCATCTCTGTCTGCTTATGGGCAATATGGATTTAAAGTAATTTGAGGGCCAAGCGAGGTGGCTCATGCCTGTAATCCTAGCACTTTAGGAGGCCGTGGTGGGCAGATCGCTTGAGGTCAGGAGTTCAAGACCAGCCTGGCCACCATGGCAAAACCCGGTCTCTACTGAAAATACAAGAATTAGCCAGGTGTCATGGTGCATGGCCTGTACTCCCAGGTACTCAGGAGGCTGCGGCAGGAGAATCACTTGAATCCACAACATAGAGTTTGCAGTGAGCTGAGATTGCACCACTACACTCCAGCCTGGGTGACAGACCAAGACACCATCTCAAAAAAACAAGTAATTTCAGGGCCAGGCATGGTGGCTCATGTCTGTAATCCCAGCCCTTTGGGAGGCCAAGGCAGGAGAATCGCTTGAGCCCAGGAGTTTGAGACCAGATTGGGCAACATGGGGAAACTCCACCTCTACTAAAAATACAAAATCAATCAGTTGTGGTGGTGCGTGTCTGTAATCCCAGCTACTTGGGAGGCTGAGGCACGAGAATTGTTGAACCTGGGAGGCTCCAGGTTCAGTGAGCCAAAATTGTGCCACTACACTCCAGCCTGGGTGACAGAGCAAGACTCTATCTCAAAAAAAAAAAAAAAAAAAAGTAATTTCATCCAAGTAGTATTCTTTATCTCACAGGTAATATCAACACACAGCATCGGTGTATATTACTATGCAAATTATTTATGCAAATTATTTATGGTTATTCAATGGCATAAAAAGCACCACAACTGCCATGAATATATGAACACCCAAAAACTTCCCAAACATACTCTCCTTACCAAATTTGGGTCAAAATGCTAAAAGCTGAGTTAACGGTCTTTATTCAGGTAATGATATCAGTATTCTATTACTAACAGTATTAGTAAATTTCTTTAAGAGATGATATCATTGAATACTTCAGCCAATGCAAGTGCAGAGTAGAATTCAATGAAAGTGCGTAAGTAATGGATGAACGTGGTACTAACCGATGTGTTTCTTCTGGATCTACGAGAGTAGCGCTCACTGTCTTCCTACCAAAGCAACGGAGGAAACAGTATGAGAAGGTTAGAGACAGACAGACACAGCAGAAGCGTTTTAAAAAGGCGTAGGTAGTCCCATTGCAACATAATACAGCAGTTCTGATCGAAATGCCAAAGCAGTATTTTCTTTGCACTTGTTTAAAGGCTTCAATTAAACCCGTGGGTAAAAACGTTTTCTTCTGGGGTGGGAGGTTCTTAGGCACACAAAGTGCCATACTTCATTTCTGTTGTAAAACAGTGTGTTTGGGGCAGAAGCTGGGTCCTACTTTTTTCTAACCGCTATCATCCGGTCCGTTTAAATCAAGCTACTTTTCCCCTTCCTTTCAGAACCTTACTCTCTTCGGGAATCAGAAGATAAACCATTTCCACAAAACATCCGAAAAGGATGTCACTCTTTCTACTACACACTGTGGATTTGCAGACACACACAGTTTTTCTATATCTGGACATCTCTGAAGCTGGGGTATAGCTTATAATCTCAGTTGCTCAGTTATAATTAGTAGCTTTTCTTTCTCAGTGGTATATAAAACAATGACAAGATTGTTTAAAATTTTTCTTTTCTTTTTTTCTCTTTCCTGTATCACCATGCCTGTGGATAGAAATGTCTTAAGATTTGATAAACATACATTTATGTCATGTAAGCCTAAAATGATGGTTTTCCTAGGCTGAATGGAATCATTTTCTCACTAGAGTAAGTGTGTGCTCTTTATATTTGAAGAATGAACCTCTTTTATGCCCAGTATGTAAGATGTTAGGAGATAATCTTGGATCTTTCTTAGACGATTTTATGTATAAGGAACATTTAATAGGACATTTCCATCCTGGCCAGGTTCTCAACTGCTAAAAGCATGTGGAGGTCCACAGGGCCAGGCAATGAAGCAAAAGGGACAGGAAGAGCTGGAAGGGCTCAGGCAGATGAACTAATGAGAAGGGTCAGGCCACGCTCTCTTGGGACCAGCGGAAAGCACAGACTGTCCCCCTTCCGCAGCCTCCCTCTGTGGGCACCGCGGCTTCTCGAGAAGGCCAGAAGGACAGGATTATCATCAGGGGCGAGCTAGCTCTCCATTCCCAGTAGGGCAGAGGGGCTGCTCTAGGAAGCAGGTGGAGAAGGTAAAGGAATTTTCTTACCGAAGACCAGCGGTGTCAGCAGGCACAGTGGATAAGATGAAGACAGCCAATGCAGAGAAAGTCTAAATGAGGGTGGCAGGGCAGCTGGTCGCAATCATGAGTGAAGGAAATGGAGCAAAATGTACCTCAGGTTCCAACTGGAGCCTGGGGAGCTGGAAGCCAACGGGAATGTTCTCTGGAAAGTTCTCAAGATGGGCGCATGCCCAGCCTGAGTCCTGGTGGAGAGCCCTGCCCCTGAGGAGATCAGGGTGGCTGTGGTCGTGAAGTGGAGACCTCCCTAGACTGCAGGCCAGGGGACAGCAGCAGTCAGTGGCTACTAAACAGGCAGGACAGATGCCTGGCCATGACCGTTTCTAAGCAGGCTGCATTTGGGGATGTAAACAGAGACCAGATGCAGAAGCCCCCGGAAGAAAATCTCTCAGTATTAAATTATGGTGCAACAGGAATCTGTCTACATAATTAAACTGCACAAGAATTACATTATAAACCATTTAAGTCTCAACATTGTATTGAAGGGGGGAGAGAAGGGTCAAAACAAACTTATATTCAAGGCCTACCATCCACTGCTCGATGTCACCCCATTTTGAATCCAGCCCATAATATTTCTACAGACAGAAGGGAAAGAAAATTAGGCAAGAAGTGAAATTTTTAAGAAAGGCAATTGTCTAAGGCACTGTTCTGACATGCATTTCCAAACCGCCATCCAGCCGTGTGGTGAAGGTAACATGCCAAGGCAAAGCAGTCAGCAACACGCTTGGCTCCTACACAGGGAGCCGACACCCGTGCAGTCGTGCAGGATGTGAGCTGTGAACAAGACCCTCCCCGCCCCCTCCATCCCAGCAGGGCGGTAAAGCCGGCCCAGCAGCCTTCCCGCCCCTCTGACGGGCTGCTGGGGACTTCAAAGCAAAGGTGATAGAAGAATCAAACACCTTCTAAGAGAAGCAAAAGCTCAGAGCCATTCCTGTGTTGGGACATCAGGGAAACTGAGAGGACAAGGGGAGAAACTGAGTCCTGACACTTATTCCAGCTGCCTGCTGTCTGTGCTGAGTCTAGGCCTGGGAGAATTCACCGACTTTGGCGTCTTTGTAGCATGGGTGCAGCGATGGCTGGCAGACACCCACAGAAGAGGTCTTCAAACAGTAAGAAAATTACGTGGACCCACGAGTTATGCACGTCTGGAGATTATGTTAGCTCAGAAGTGTCCAATCTTTGGGCTTCCCTGGACCGCACCGGAAGAAGAAGTGTCTTGGACCACACATAAAATACATTAACACGAACAATAGGTGATGAGCTTAAAAAAGTTGCCAAAAAATTTCACAACGTTTTAAGAGAGTTTACGAATTTGAAAGGTCAGCTGCATTTGCAGCTGTCCAGGGCTGTCTGTGGCCCGCGGGTCGGACAAGCTTGCTTGTTCCCACACCTCCATGTTTTTATCTTGTGCAGCGGTCCGCGTTAGAATGAGAAAAGCACACTCACAACAGCTACTGCTGTCCCTGGATCTGGGAATCCCAAAGGTAGGGGGAACCCGGCTCATGGGCTCAAATAATAGGGTTTTGCTTTTCTCCTTTTTATTTAATTTCCAGTAAGAAAATCAAGAAACAACTAACCAAACTTCTATATTATTATAACACAGACGTGAGTTTTCTCTTTATACATTAAAATCTTACAATCAGGAGGAAAAAGTCAGATGTTAGAAATACAAGAGCATTTATGAAATTGTTTTACAATAATCGTAACATGCTGTTGCTATGGTTGGTTCAGTTTCACTTTGAAGGGTGGCCAGGTTTAAAAATATTCAGCTCTCAGACGGTCTTACCTCTTTCTCTTAGAGATGGTGGTAAGCAGAAAATTTGGAGAGCAAAAATTAGGAGGGAGAATTTAATAATGTTTTTAAAAATTCACTAATACTGAACTCTAGTATAAAAAACCCATGAGCCATATCTTTTTCTCGAAACTGCTCCCTTGGAATGTAAATTCAGAAAGGAAAGAAAAGCGAACATATTCCAAAGTCATGTTTTATCTTCAATGTCAGGGAAATGTATCAGCTTAAAGCTATTTTGCATTCAATTAATGTTAGCACCTGTCAAATTCTAGATTTTCCACAAGTAAAATATGATGCCATCACCCCTCACTTATCTCTGGGCTTAACTAAAAAGATGGAAGAACAATGTTTGTAGAAAGATGGGGCCTATATACATTCACAATAAAATTATTTAAATTCCAAAAGAAATCTGTACTGTTTATCTGTTTTCAAAGATTTTTTTTGTCCCATTATAACCACACACTCTATCTTGCTCTTCTCGTGATAAAGAACCAGGACTGAAAATCATTCACCTTGTTCACGGGAGGCCTTATAAGTAGCCACTGCAGCTGCATTTCCTGTCACTCCCTGGGGAGAGAACGCCCCTAGTAACGGCAAGTGTGATTAACTAGTAGTTCCGGGGTGAAGGGCAGGCATTTCAAATGTAAATCATTACCACGAGCCAGAGCTGGTGAAGCCATGCAGCGGGAAGCAGGAGCCACTCTACTGCAAAAGGGGCTTGACTTTCAGAAATAGCTTTGATTCTAGAGAAACTGTTCCACAGGGCAGCTGGCTGGGCTGGAGGAGCGATCACAGCCTCCCCTCCTCCCCAGACATCTCGGCCATGAGGAAAGCCTTCCCCTCCCTTGGCACACCTTTACTGTAAAACTGTGCCTCTGCTCTTCCACTGCCCCCTCCAGCTTCACGTTCTACACAAATTCACATTCTGACAAAGTTCTCACAATGTATACCAGGCACTTTAGTAAAAAGAAAATAATGTGACGTAGCACAAGAAAGGCATGAAAACAAGTGGAAATGACCAGATAGAGCTCCTCTTCCAGGCAATGGAAGAGAGCGTCCTGCTGTGTCAGTTACAGGGAGGGCTCCTGCCTGCCCTTTCTCCTGTCCAGTTCTTCCCGAGGCTCTCTGAGGACGACGAGGAACTCCAGCTGCAATACCATTTCTATATTGGGGCCCTAGAAACACTAGTCAAGCACAACAAATTCTGGCATCTACTTAACAAATTTCTTTGCACTCTTGGGGACAGCAGCTATGTGGAGTGCAGGGCACCCGCGGGGAAGGCGATTCGTCACCGAGCTCAGGAATCTAACGAGACAGGCTCTTAAATTTACTGCCCCTGCCTTCTGGGGGCCTGCGTGCTCTAATTTCCAATATTAAGTGACCTTTTTCTGATTTTCATATCCACTCTAAGAGAAAAATACAGTTGTTGTTGATCTAGAAACTAAATAAATTTATGAAAGGAAACTATCATAGGTGTAAATCTCAAACTGAATTCGTTTATGGGAAAGACTCATATACAAATTCCGTAAATTCTCGGAACTCCCTCACTTCTGACATCATTTTTGCTCGGTCTTGAATCACTGACGCTGTTGTCTTTATTTTCTGTGTCTGGCATGCCCAGTGCTATTTACTTCTAAACCTCAGCTGCTTCTACAAAGTACTAGGAGACAGAGAGGTGCGTGACTTTACGACCTCTGAGCATTAGGGATGAATGGCAGGTTCATTTCATATCATCGCCTTTTTACTCAGATTTTTAAGTCAATGTCTAATAATCTCTTGATAGGTGGTAATTTTCATGGATTTTTAAAAAAGTTTTCTAATAAAATTGTCTTTTCCTTTCAATACAGAATTTTAAAAGGCTATCCAAATTCGAAATATAATTTTATCTTGCCTTAGAATTACTTTCCTTCTCAAAGAAACAATTTTTAAATTCCCAGAGGAAAATGCAGATGGGAAAGGCATTCAGTACACAGAAATGTGTCTGACTGCCGCTCTGAGTGGCGTAGGATGAGGATCTAGTTATTCTTGTTCAAACATATTCATACACAAAGTAGTAAAATAAATAGTGAGAACTGTGTTATCTTCAATGCAAGCTGTTATTTCTGAAAGGTGACCAGGCCCTTGGTAAGGAAAAAACAGCCCATGCAAGTTAGGAAATAAAGAAGGAAGAGCCTACCTTTTGGACCTGATAGATCTATAGAGAAGGACAAAAGAAGAAAGAAAAATAAAATCCAATTACAGAAGCAGCAACAGCAGAATGACAGGTTCTGTGAGTAACTAGACATATGAATCGAAGCATCCTGGGAAAGAAACACTGAATACCAGTAAAATCGGAATAAGGAAACGTGTGAGGTCCCACTGACAAGAGTTTGTGATTTTATCACTTACTTTACGTTCCATTTCAGATACATTGGTGAGACAGGGGCATACCCACACGGGTCTCTACCAAAAATACTGCTATTATTCTAAGACAGAAGTCTGTGTAACCCATTGCCATCAATGAGAAAAGTACTTCCTTCATCTTTAATTCAAAATTCATTTTTGCAGTAATAAAAGTTTAACCAAAAAGTACAGAAACTTAATTGGAGAGTTAACTGTTCAAATTCACAAATAAGGAAGAAAGAGGCTTTGATGTTGATTCACACAGACACATACAGAAGACCAGGGACATTCCCGCTAAATAGAGTGATCATTAGAATGTAACATTCATTTGCTTCGGAGGTGTCTCTGAATTTTGTAGTACTCACGAGATAAAACTGAGACAGCTACTCATATTCATTCATTCGTTTATTGAAACATTGGTCACATCAGGCATTATTCAAGGTGCTGCCCAAACGGCAAGACCAGGAAGTGGGCAATTCTAGTCTTATATGGGGAACACGTGAATACATTCAACATTATGACTGTAAGAAACAGCATCTCAACCAAAATGTTTATCCAGTCTGTGGCAAGAAAAGGGATACCCCCAATAACCATTTTTTTTCTATCAGTGTAGGTTTTCCCTAAGAAGTTCGAGGTTCACTTGAATTTCCCAAGAACATGTCCATTATTCTCGCTTAACAAATCCCGTAAAAAGGAGCTCATATCCTTTTAAACAGTCCCTGGAACACAGCTAGAGAAGGCTGCAGTGGGTTCTCGCCGTCTGTGTGCTGAAAAGAACCATTCCAGGTGGCGGGAGTTGGCCTGGAGGTCTGATAATACCGAGGCAACAGGGCAGCCCCCGACACTGGTGTCCCCTCGCCACCTCCCCTCTCTGTACACGCTCCATGCTTCCCTTGGGGGACAGGAACCCCGGTCAGCTTCCTGCCCTTCTCAGTGTTCTCAGAGTAGCCCCCTCAAGAAAACTCTCAGCCTGCTCAGAAACGCCTGCATGCAAATGGGATGGCTTGTGATCCAGATGAAAACAGGGATCAGGTTTCTCAATTTTTACACCAAAATATCAACCCTACACTTTAAACACTGGTCTTCCAAAACGTATTCATTTCCCCTTAATCAACAATTTAAAATGCCAGTGCCCCAAGCTACCAGACGGTATAACCTCAACTTGTGTTCACTGGTTCTAATAATAGCCAGGCCCAGAGCCGTGATACGCAAAGAAGAGTGTGAGGGGCGTGGTGGGCGCACCTTCCTAAATCCTCCACGCATGGGCTGAAGACCTGCAAGCTCAGACCCCACCAGCTGGACTCTCTTCCCTCTGGATGCATACACAGACGCTCATGTGTGTGCACACACACATGCACACACCTGAACCCATACACACGTGTATGCACACACATGTACACATACACATGCACACATACACATACATGCACACACATGAACCTGCACACACATGCACACATACACACGCACACACCCAAACCTGCACACACACATGCACACACACGAACCTGCATATGCACACATGCACATGCACACACACGAACCCGCATATGCACACATGCACATGCACACACACGAACCTGCAAACATACACACACATATGCCCACACGAACCCACACACGTACACACATGCATACACACACAAACCCACACATGTACACACACGTATGCACACACGAACCTGCACATGTACACACGCATATGCACGCACGAACCTGCACACGTGCACATGCACATGCACGAAGCTGCATACATGCACATGCACACACATGAACCCACACACATACGTGCACACAATACATGCATGTGCACACACTGACCCACATATACACACAGAGATCCACACATATACACACACACGCACACAAACAAACCCATACACACACGTGTACAATCCTCCTAGCCTCTATCCCACCCTTTGGGTCAAAGGCACAGCTAGATGAACAGCTACTGCTTCTGTATTTATAGACAATTCTAACAAAATTGTCAATTTTATGTTTCATATTACTGTGCCTCAAATTCAGCATCAAGGACAACTTTCTTTTTCAAGGCATGATTCCACTTGGAAAGTGACCAGGATGATGTGGATCATTCTATTCCCCCCTGGCTGTGGGTGCCAGCATCCTCAACGCTAACTTCAACCCCATGGTCCACAGATTCACTCCATCCTCCTCTGACTTGCTTTTAGTGTTGGTTACATGACTGATTTTGAGACAGAGGGGTGTGCTAGGAAGACCACAGGCTTTGTATCTGGTCAGATCCAGTTTGAATCTTGGCTCGGTCATTTTCTTAGATTTGGGAAAAACTGTCTATCTCCCTAAGTCCTGTTTTTCTCACCTGTAAAGTTCGTGAAGATGCCCATCACTGTCAGCAGGTGATAGCCCCTAGCCCAGCTCTGCCACATGGCAGGGGCTCTGGGATGTCCCCCCACCCCAGGCTTCTCTGACTAGTCATAAAATACACCTCTGTCTTATTGAAGATCTTTCAATACCTTTTTAGAAGAAGCAGACATAAACTTTAAACAACAATGCTGTCATCTTGCAAAGACCCGAAATTCACGAATGCACAGTTGCCATTGTTAGGAACCCTTGCTGCGTTGGGCTGACTGGGCCGGCCCTTCCCCGTCTGGCTATTGCCTTCCAGGTAGGTTTCTGTTTGCCAGGTCTGTCCTCTGCTGCCACCAAGAGTGGCTTCCCCCCCCGTAGAACTGTTTCACTTGTTGTCCCCACTCACCGTTTCGGCTGCGTTCATTTCTCTGCCCCTCCCGACACGTCCCCCACGTTCCCAGGCTCTTGTTCCACAACCTGGTAAGTTCAGGTGGCTCTGGGTCCTGGTCCGTGACCAACCCCAGGCAGGAGTCCGCAGCAGCACCCACAACGTCCACCTTATGTCACAGCCGCAAGTCACGGTCATGATTGCGGAAGTGCAGGCCTCAGTGATGAGAAAGCCAAGTCTGCAGATCCACAGAGGACTGTGCAAAAGGTGATGATGGCCAAAGGTGCTGCCCGCAAGGGACACCACACCCTCCTGCAGTCCCTGCTGCCCGAAAGGGACACCACACCCTCCTCCAGTCCCTGCTGCCTGAGAGCACAGGCCAAAACCACCACTCTTGGTGGTGGACGTTCCATGGAATTTGCAACAGGATGAGACATTTTGGCTCCTGTGACCCCCCTGAAATATCTTTATGATAAAACCATGCTGTAGGGAGAAGAATTTCAAAATTCAAATGCGACCAACTAAGCAAATGACACCTGAATGGGTGTGAAGAGGGCGGAAGAGGACGAGCCGCAGCATTTTACATCGGACCTCCCGGATCTTCTCCGATGTTCTCCGCAAAGCCCGTGCTCATCAGAGGCACCAATGAGGGCTGCTCCGCACCCCTTTCTTACGATACTAAAATAAAATGACAAAGGCTTGGTTTCCCATCTGGAGTAGCAACTACTTATTATTTTTTGACTTTTTGAACGAGATGGGGGTCTCACGATGTTGCCCCAGCTGGGGTACAGTGGCTATGCACAGGGACAATCAAGGCACGACCATTAATCCAAGCTCCTGGGCTTAAGCAAAGCTTCTGCCTCAGTGTCCTGCGTAGCTGGGACTACAGGTGCATGCCACCACTCGGATTATTTTTAATTTTCTTTCTGTGTGGCTTGGAACATTACAACAGAGATGCGGGAGTCCAGCAGCAGATTGCTCTTACGCTGTACAACTAAAATGCAACAGAAGAGGGGCTCCTTTGACTCAAGGGACTAAAGGGGTGTTTTGCTTTTAAAGGAGGTCATTCAAATAGATGATTTCTTGCCTTAATTCATCTTACTTTTAAAATCAAGAACTTTTGCCCAAAGTTGTAACGAGCTGCTTATATCAATATGTATATATTTAAATCAGTTCCATCCACAATTAAGATATAATATGGGCTGGGTGCAGTGGCTCACGCCTATAATCCAAGCATTTTAGGAAACCAAGACGGGCAGATCACCTGAGGTCAGGAGTTCGAGACCAGCCTGGCCAACATGGTGAAATCCTATCTCTACTAAAAATACAAAAAATTAACCAGACATGATGGCGGGCACCTGTAATCCCAGCTACTCAGGAGTCTGAGGCAGGAGAATTGCTTGAGCCCAGGAGAGGGAGGCTGTAGTGAGCCAAGATCACACCACTGCACTCCAGCCTGGGTGACAGAGCAAGATTCTATCTCAAATAAAAAAAGGAAAAATACAATCAACATGTTTTCATCTAACTGTTTAATTTAGAAGACAGATGTGTATGCACATACATACACTAGAGTGTGCACTACGCACGTACTATAATTATTTTTTCACCTTGATTTTGTAGATATTCCACATTTGTATTCTTGATGAAAGTAACTTTCCTTATATCTACTGCACATGAGAAAAATGATGAAATGATGACAGACACCATCCTGAAAGCTGGGCAGGGCCCGCCCGCAGCTTCACGGCCAAGTGCCATGAAGTCTGGTTCTTGGCTCTGCTGTAACAACACGGCTGAGACACAGGAGCTAGGAACAGGGCAGGCAGGGGCCTACGGTCCCACCAACCATGCAAAGCCTGGCGGAGAAACAAAATACTGTGGGAAATTCTTTTTACAACTCTTTTATGACCTTAATAATAATAATAATAAAGACTGGGGCCCTATTGGGAAGCCAGGAGAAGTGGGTTAAAGCCCGATAAGCCTTGGAATGCCACACAGTAGCCAGAGGGGGTGGCTTTTGGCTCTGGAGAACGAGGCAGCTGTCCGCTCACACGGTGATATGGCCACCAAGAACCGGTGGCCACTGCCTGCCGGATGAACCACCTTACCAGCCTGCTGCCATTCGGTTTCTAAAACATTCGGAAGGGGCTAGCAGTGTCCTGCACACGAAGAACTTGAAAGTGTCCGCTGAGATAGGAAGAGACACATTCTACAGAAAAACTGACACCGGGCACTGTAAAAAAGCACTTGAGATTTTGTCATTTAAAATATATATATTTAAGCCAGGTGTGGTGGCTTATGCCTGTAATCCCAGCACTTTGGGAGCCCAGGAGGTCAAGGCGGGAAGATCACTTGAGGTCAGGAGTCTGAGACCAGTCTGGCTCACATGGCGAAACACTGTCTCTACTAAAAATACAAAAATTAACCAGGCATGGTGTGGTGCACCTGTAATCTCAACTACTTGAAAGGCTGAGGCATGAGAATTGCTTGAACGTGGGAGGCGGAGGTTGCAGTGGGCAGAGATCACATCACTGTACTCCAGCCTGGGTGACAGAGCAAGACTCCATCTCAACAACAACGACAAAAAAAAAAAAAAATATATATATATACATTCAAAAACCAGTTTAGAATAAAAGCACTATTCCTCCTAGTGGCCTCCAGCAACCACTATGGATACCAGAGCATGAGCGTGTGGGATGGTTCCCAGGGCTTGGTGACACTGCCCAGCCTCTGCCTGCAGATTTCTACCCAGAGCGGCTAACTCCCAGCAGCGGAAGGCAATGAGCACGTCAGACTGGTGGCAGGGCCCCGCCCCTGCAGGGAATGTGGCCGGCTTGGTCTCTGCTGGGACTATGGCAGAATCTACATCCACTGTAAGAGAATCTGGAAATACAGATTTTTATCTGAAATTGCACTGGTTTTAAACACTGGCTCGCCTTTTAAAATTTGGCTATGCAAGCCTGTGTATGAAAATCAACCCTGGGGAGGGCAGCTGGTTACTTCTGTCTATCAAAGTAAAATCAAATCTTAAGAAGAAAAGCCCATGGGGGTGGGCTTGGGATGGATGGTCCCTTGGCCCCACAGGGCATGGTCCACGGGAGAACACAGACTGAGGGGGTCTCGGCTTCTATGCCTCTGAGCTCACAGAAAAGGTCACACCATGACTGTGAGTTAAAGAGCCCCCATGCTGTCAGAAATGACTCCTGGCTCCAGCTCAAGATGATGAAAATAAGCTGCAAATGCCCTGAGCAGGTGTGTCAACACATTGCTAGCCATTTTCCCAGGGGGGAGTTTCTTCCTGGCTATTTCATCCATCATGTTCATTTTTCTCTCTCTCACACACGGGCTCCAGATATCCTGAAACCTGCAGCCCATGCGTGGTCAACACCGTACAAAGCACAGGGGGAAATATTTTTAAATAAAATAATTTGGCCAGCTTAGAAACTCATTGACCTGTTCTTCTTTTCCATGTTAATCCAGAGGCTCTAGATTCTAGTACAACAGTTAGACGTTAAAGCTCAGACCCTGCACATTTTGGCTCCTCGCAGCTGGAAAGCATGATCTTTGCAGGCAAGAGGCTTCTAAGCCCCTGTCAGGAGGCAGCAGGTCTGAGCAGGCATGCCTGGCATCTGGGCTATATGCCCTCCCGGCCTGACCTTGGGCAGAATTCACAGGCGCAAATGCACTCCGACCATGAGCAACGTGAGACAGCCAGGTGCGTCTGCAGCAACAGGTGACTGCATTGGCACGCTGGGGCCAAAACGCAAATCACTGTGAAAAGACCCAACAAGGTGCCCCAAGCGTTACCTCCTTCTGCTGCCGCTCCAGCTCCTTCATGCGGATCTCGCGAGCCTCCGCACGTGCTGCCCGTTTTGCGGCAAGCCGGGCCTCTGCCTGAAACAGACAGGACACCTTATTAGAGGACAGAGCAGCGGGCACCTTCCCAGTGCAGGGTCAGCAGTGATGATGCTGAAAGAAAATCTTGTTCAGAGTTTAACAGATACACAGCAATAAATTCCAGACTCACAGAGTAAAAGGGTGGTCAGGAGCAATAGAATTGCTACCATTGATCGAGCCTTTTCCACATGCTGGGCAGGCACTATTCTATGAGCTTTATGGATACGATGCCATGCACTCCTCAACACAGCCTCATTAGGCGAGACTGCTATCATCCCCAGCTTAACCATGAGGGAACTAAGGCACAGAGAGGGCAAGTAACTTGCCTGAGGTCACACAGCCTGTAAGTGGCAGGGCTGGGCAGTCAGCCTCCCTCTGGAGCTCTGACAGATGTATGGAGTGGAGTGATAACGGCTATATGCTACTCCAGGTTTCCAGTTCAACCCCTTGCTTTAGAGACTGGAAAGTAGAGGCGTGGAGAAGCTGTCAGACCCATCTGAGGTCACAGGGCTGGCTGGTGTGGAGTTGGGACTGTAACCCCAGCCAACTCCCATCCAGTTGCTTCTCAGCACACATGTGCCCTGAGCTTCCCCTTCAAACCAGCCGTGTTGGGACCCCATCTTTTCCTGAGACAATGATGATCACAGCAGAATGGTTCTAGCTGTTGGAGTCCTACCTTGCATTAAAAACTCAGCCTCCATAGAAGTATTTTTCAGCTTGTAGCTGTTCTGCCACATTCTGCTCTGTGAGAATGTTTCAAATGCTTGAGCAGGAATGGACATAAGGCTATTGAGCCTGGCATCTGAACTGTTTCTACAAACGACTTCCCCAACATTTTACAAACCACAGGCGTATTCACTGTTTCATGTGATGCAACAGCCCAGTGAGGTCGGTGGCATAAGTGTTACCGAGTGCAGGCTTTCTGGCATCAAACAAACCCCACCCTCTTTCTACTTAAGTTTTTTTTTTTTTTGCGAATACATCTGTAGTTCTTCCACCAGTGGTTCTATAAACAGTTTTCAGATGTTGTCTTGTGTAATCTTTCCCCTTTTCCTTCCTTTCTTTTTCTTTTTCTTTTGGGGATGGGTGTTTTCCTGTCGCCCAGGCTGGCGTGCAGTGTGTGTGTCTGTGCACAGGTGTGATCCCAGCTCACTGCAGCCTGGACTTCCTGGGCTCCAGCAGCCCTCCCACCTCAGCCTCCCGAGTAGCTGGGATACAGGTATGCACCCCACACCTGGCTCCTAGATGATCTTAAAATGGGACTTCGGAGGTAGCCAGCAAGCTCCTGGCCTGGGGGTGTGTCCTGACAGGGACGTCTGTCTCTCCCACCCTAGACTTACACTGTATTACAGATGTTATCTTCTTTCTCAACTTTAATCTAAGTTGAAAACTGGCCATACTTGGTGTGTCTTGAGGTTGGCTGGCTTGTGTCCTTATGAGGAATTTGTTCTATTCCCTTGGTGCCTTTATCAACCCACCCCATGTCTTTGAAATCAAGGGGTGTCAAAAATCACAACTATATCAGAATCTTGATACCTTGGTGCCATTTTCAATTTCCAAGACCATGTTCCATGGTGTGGAGGCTCTCTTGGGGCCAGGCTAAGCACGGTAGCTCAGCCCTGGAATCCCAGCACTTTGGGAGGCTGTGGCAGGTGGATCTCTTGAGGTCAAGGGTTTGAGACCAGCCTGGGCAACATGGCAAAACCCTGTCTCTATCAACACACAAAAATTGGCCAGGTATGGTAGCACACACCTGTGGTCCCAGCTACTGGGGAGGCTGAGGTGGGAGGATCACTGGAGTCTGGGAAGTTGAGGCTGCAGTTAGCTGTGACTGTGTCACTGCACTCCAGCCTGGGTGACAGAGTAAAACCCAGTTTCAAATAAAAGAAAGGCCTCTTGCGTCTATACAAAGAAGGAGGAGACAGAGAAAGAAAGACATTAGAGTGCCCTCCTACAGCCCTACCAAGGCCACACCAAGTGCAGCCCTTCCTGGGAAGGCAGGTGGCTCTGTGCCACTGGCTCAGTTTCTAAGCCAGTGCAGAGCAGGCCCGAGTTTTATCACAGCCATAGCCCACGAGCTTGGGGGGCGGGGGCGATGGAGGAAAAAGGAGGGGCTGGGAGAAGAGAAGGCAGGAAAAAGAAGGGGAGCAGAGGTGAGATGCAAGGAAGCAGACAGGGTTGGGAGAAGGAAGGGCCACCAGAGGGGGACAGAGGAAGAGACAAGTGCAGCTGGCCGAACCCTGGGTTGGTCCCCAAGGCCCCATCACTGGTGTACGTGCCCTGCATACTCCTCCCCGACTGAGTGTGGGACAGCAGGCATGATGGATGACACCACGGTGATTAGGCTGCGTTACATGGCAAAGAGTATTAAAAAATAATTAAAATCCTTCATCCATTGACTGCCTTGCTCAAAAGACAGATTATCCTATGGGCCTGCCCTAATCAGGTAAGCCCTTTAAAAGAAGGTCTAGAAGTCGGAGAGCATCCTTGCTGGTCTCGAGAAAGCAAGCTGCCCGGTGGGAGGGGCCTGGGTGAGCAGAGAGCAGCCCTCGGCTGAGTGATGCCAGCAGGAACAGTGGCCTCAGTCCTACAACCACGAGGAACTGAATTCTTCCAACAAACATGTGGCTCGGAAGAGGAGCCTGAACTCCAGAAAGACCCCAGAATGGTGGACACCTTGGTTGCAGCCTTGTGAGGCCTGGGCATAGGATCCAGTGAGGCTGAGTCCAGGTTCCTCTTTTTTTTCCCTTTGAGACAGGGTCTCCCTCTGTCGCCCAGGCTGGAGTGCAGTAGAGTGATCACAGCTCACTGCAACCTCTGCCTCCCAGGTTCAACCACAAGCCTCCCGAGTACCTGGCACTACAGGGTGGGTGTTACCACACCTGGCTAATTTCCGTATCTTTTGTAGAGATGGGGTTTTGCCATGTTGCCCAGGCTGGTCTCAAACTCCTGGGTTCAGGTCATCCACCTGCCTCGGCCTTCCAAAGTGCTGGGATTACCATCACGAGCCAGTACGCCTGGCCAATGTGCCTAGACTCCTGATCACAGAAACTGTGAGATCATAACTGTGTGTTATTCTAAGCCACTGAGTTGCAGATATTTATTACACAACTAGCAGATAACTAACAGAAGGAGAGGAGGTCTGAGGTGACTCCTGCTCTCACAGGGCGAGTATCTCTGTGAGCTGAGCGGAGTCCCAGGCACCGGCACCCCCACCCATTTCCCCATCTGCCTGCCCAGCTTCCCAACCTACTACAGCTTAGCTCTGTGGGCCTTGGGCCAGAGGTCCTTGCAGAACTCGCCTACCTGAGCGCACAGTATTCCACCTGGGGGCCCCTCTCAGGTGTCCCCACTCCAGACTCGCAGGCCTCCAAAACAATGCCCTGTCAGACCTCTGCTGCTCCTGGGGGGCCTGTCCTCCACCCAGGAAAGGTTCTTATCATGGCCCGCCTTCAGCCTAACAGGTATGTCTACCCTGTCCCTCACTTGGGGATAATGACATTAAAAGACTAAAAAGCAATGACCAGGCCGGGCGCGGTGGCTCACACCTGTAATCCCAGCACTGCGGGAGGCCGAGGCGGGTGGATCATGAGGTCAAGAGATCGAGACCATCCTGGTCAACATGGTGAAACCCCGTCTCTACTAAAAATACAAAAAATTAGCTGGGCACGGTGGCGCGTGCCTGTAATCCCAGCTACTCAGGAGGCCGAGGCAGGAGAATTGCCTGAACACAGGAGGCAGAGGTTGCGGTGAGCCGAGATGGTGCCATTGTACTCCAGCCTGGGTAACAAGAGCAAAACTCCGTCTCAAAAAAAAAAAAAAACAAACCAATGACCTTTTTTGGGAGGCACATGGGCTTGGATTGATAAAGGAACCACACGGATGAACCGTGTTACACAATAGATTCCTCACAAGGACACGAGCAAGGCCACCTCCAAGACAGGCCAACTGTGGCGATCTCCACCTTACATTCGAATTCAGAGAGGAGATCCATTTGTCACTGAATACAATTCCAAATCCTGGCAACCTCCGCCTTCTAGAACACCTACACCCCTTACGATCCTCACGTGACTCACGTGGAAAACAAAGCGTTGGCAATACCAGAAGCGGCAATTTAGTTATAGGCAATTCTTGGAATCTGCCTAACTAAACACCCACAAATACAGAAGCCAGCATTTAAACTGGCAAAAACCCTATACATGACCATCTTCATGAGCACAAAACTACACACTTAGCCACAGAATAACTCTTGCCACTCACTTGAGATGTCTGAAAGAAAATCCACAGAGTTGGCCCCGCACGGTGGCTCACACCTGTAATCCCAGCATTTTGGGAGGCGGAGGCGGGCAGATCATGAGGTCAGAAGTTTGAGATCAGCCAGGCCAACATGGTCCAACCCATCTCTACTAATAATATAAAAAATTAGTAGGGCTAAGTAGCATGCATCTGTAATCCCAGCTACCTGGGCAACTGAGGCAGGAGAATTGTGTGAACCCAGGAGGTGGAGGTTGCAGTGAGCTGAGATTGTACCACTGCCCTCCAGCCTGGGCGACTCTGTCTTGGAAACAAAAAAAAAAAAAGAAAATCTGCAGAGTTTCAACAAAATTCTTCTCCAAACAGAGACGCTGCTAAGAATGGCACAGCAGCCTGACAGAGCACAGCAGATGACGATGGCTGACTTGATCACTATGGAGTCACCGGGGAGACTGCAGTCAGGGTCCTCAGGGTCTGGGGAGCCTCAGGTCCGTGCTCTGGTGGCGCAGGACGAATCCTTCACCAAATGACACTTTTGTAAAACACAAAATCTCATGATGGGCCACGTCATGTCAGACTGCTTGAAGAGTTTCCAAACACGTCCTGTCACTTTCTGTGAGTAGCCTGTGGGCTGGACCATGACCTGCGGAGGCCACAGGAACCCACGCAGCAGCACCGCTTGGGACAGTGGGAGCGATTTCTGCAATGCAGTTGGGTGCCCAGTCTCCGGGGACACAGGCAAA